GTTCCACCGGTGACAACGGCTATTTTATTTTCAACGTTCAATTGCATTTGTGAGGTTGTTGAAGAAGAATGTTTGTGTAGCTGGGAAAGAAAGAGTTGCGGAGTGCAGGAGATCTTTATATTTCAATGGCATGTTTTTTTTTTTTTTGTATTTTATTTTGTCTCTTGTTCATGTGGGGTTTGACATTTGATCTCCGCAAATTTATCCGCACATTCACTTTTAACCGAGATACATTCCACGGAGTTTTGCTGAAAAATGAGTAAGCAGAAAGAATTGGAGTTTATGGAGTGGTTTACCTATTTGGAGTCGAGTGATTGAGGAAAGGGAATGTTGTGTATAAAGAGAACAACTACTTTTTATCTCAATGTATGAATGCTGACGTTTTTTTTGAAAGTTGTTGTCAGGTAAATCAAGGTACCAAGTGAGTACAAGAGCTTGCTGCTAAGGAATTATAGAGCGTGACTTCCCGGAAGCAAACGTACCCGCCTTACCTCGATTTGGGTGTTTGCACCCAATTCAAGAGCCTCCATAAGACATAGATTATAGTAATTTGTTTTGGAGCTCTCTGTAATGAGGGTATATTTGCGACAAAATTTGTGGCTTAATCCTCTTTTTTAGACCAATCTCATAAAAAAGCTATGATAAACTCTATTTAATTGCAGCAGAATCAAGTCAACTCTGTTTCCCCTACCTCAATGTAACATCCATTCTATACATTTTTGCAGCAATGTAACTTGAGGGATAAAAGGAGAAAAGAACAAAAAAAAAATGTCTCGTTATTTTAAATGGTCCACGTTTTGTTTCAAATGTATAACAAGATATATACAGATTTTAACACACACACACACACACAAAAATTTTTCTTGCGTTTTCTTCTTTGTCTTGTTTTCTAATCCACATCCAGAGTTAATATTCCAAATTGCTAGCCACTTATGAAGTTTGCGGAGGCTCTTAGTGATGGCTTGGTTACGGAATGGCAAGACCAATACGTTGATTATAAAGGTGGTAAGAAATTGATAAAGAAGATTCGCAAGCTCAAGGATGAGTATGATCAAGAGTCGACTACCGTACTGGCAGATGGGAATAGTGAGAATAATGGTACTAACAATGATAGAATGCCATTGTTGAACTCGAATGACCTTGAGAGACACGATGAGTCCCACAGCGATAACACACCACCAGTGTCAAGTTCGAGCAGTCGTCATGAAACTAGGAAGCCTTCGGTGTTCAATTACTCACTCAAGTCGAGTAAGACGGATTATTTCGCAGAGAGGAGAAAGTTTCAACTTTGGCTTGACGAAGAGTTGCTGAAGGTGGATGAATTTTACTCGGAAAAGGAGCAAGACGTTTACGAACGATTTTTGCTATTGGAGGACCAGTTGTATCAAATGAGGGAACAGAAAAACCAAATTCAGAGACAACGAAGACAGCATGATGGGAATGTCCATGGTATTGCTTCTCGAGGCGAACGTGTTATGCCTCATCGAGTTAACGATTTAGCATTTCATACCAAATTTTTCATTAGTGGACTAAGCCGATGGGACCTACCTTCGCTACCGTCAATGGCATTTGTGAAGAAATGGAAGAGCAAAAAGAAGGTCAAGTATGAGGATGACATATCACTACATGTTCAAGATTCTGTCGATTTGAATTATGCAGAAAATCGAGTACGGAACGGTCTTGTTGAATTGAGTGACCGTGCAACAGACCAAACATCGTTGGATTCGGAGTCCGAAGTGGAGGACTACTTGCCGGCAGCACAATCTGGGCCCCAAACAGATGACCAGATACGACAAACCCGCAGACGTGATTATACTCCTAAAAAGCAGCATTTTGGCGTGCCATACTTGTATGCAAAGAAACAATTGAAGTCTGCCCTTTTGGAGCATTACCGTGCATTGTCGATCCTCAAGTCGTACAGAACTATGAATAGAACCGCATTTAGAAAAATAACCAAAAAATATGACAAGTCGATGCATACCAACATAATGGAACCATTTATGCAGAGGATCAATACGTCTTCTTATTTCTTGACAAGTGACTTGCTCGACAAAATAATTAACCAAGTGGAAGAGCTTTATATTGCCTTTTTTGACCCCGAATCCAAAGATAGGAAGCAATCTTTGGAAAAGTTGAAAACAATTGCATATACTTTCAATTCAACCGAGATACGACAACCTCAGTATTATACCGAGTTTTTCAGCTCTGGTATTTTCCTTGGGTTTGGGATCCCGTTATTTACGTTGGGATTATATACAGCGCTTCACAAAACAACCACTGGAGAGCTTCCTGAGGGGCGATATTTGCTACAGGTGTGGGGAGGATTTTTCATACTCACATTGGCATTCCTCTTATTTGGAATCAATATGGCTGTGTTTGACAAATTCAGAATCAACTACAAGTTTATTTTCGAATTTGATATAGCATCTGCTTTGAACTATAAACAATTTTGGTTACTCCCATCGTTTGCATTTGCGTTTTTGTCACTATTGGGGTGGTTCAGTTTCAACAATTTTTGGCCGCATAAATTTCCAGGTAGAGACTGGCCGTGGATCTTTTTTGGTGTTATGTTGGTGATTTTCGTATGGCCGACAAACGCACTTTATGGATCGGGTCGGAGATGGTTGCAGTTTGCATTGTGGAGACTACTCTTGTCAGGACTCTATCCAGTTGAGTTTCGGGATTTCTTTTTGGGCGATATCGTTTGTTCATTGACGTACACCATGGGGAACTTGCCATTTTTTTTCTGCTTATTTGCCCACCATTGGAATGGCACTTTGGCAGGTCAGCCTGCTAGTGCCAATACATGTACATCATCTAGATCGCGGCTTATGGGATTTTTCAGTACGTTGCCAAGTGTGTGGCGGTTGTTGCAGTGTATACGTCGTTACATGGATACTGGTGATTGGTTTCCTCATTTGGCGAATATGATGAAGTATGCCGTGTCTGCTGTGTACTATATGACCTTGAGTATTTATCGTATTGAGCGCAAAGAAAGAAACAGAATTGTTTTCATACTTTTTGCTTCACTCAATTCGATATACACTTCGATATGGGATATTGTCATGGATTGGTCATTGTTGCAAACCGGCTCCAAGCATTTCTTATTGCGGGATTATTTATTTTACAAGAAACCATACTATTACTACATAGCCATGGTTCTTGATGTGATTTTGCGATTCCAGTGGATATTCTATGCGTTTTTCACACACCAGATTCAGCAAAGTGCAGTAACGTCCTTTTGTGTTGCTCTAGCTGAAATTCTTCGTCGTTTTATTTGGATATTTTTCAGAATGGAAAATGAGCATTGTACCAATGTCATTTTGTTTAGAGCTTCGAAAGATACACCCTTACCCTATGCAGTGTCGGCTAAAGTTGAACGTGCAGTGAAGAAGTTGGTCGAATCTAGATATGATGATCGAAAGTCATCTGAAGAAGAAGGAATTGCCGAGGAGAATGTTGGATTCACTACTGGAAGATCGGGATCTAGGGGTGACGATGATGGTAGAGGTTCAGTTGATTTGACAAGGTTGCTGACAAGGCAATCCATGCCACATTTGCAACAACGAAAGACGTACTTTAAGCAAATTACAGATCGTTTGAACACGGCTCATATAAAGGATTTCCAAAGACGAAAGACTGTAACGCATTTGGACGAAGATTCCGATGATGAGGAAGATGATGATGATGATGCAAGTATTGCCGGAAAGTCAAGTAAACCTTCTCGTGTGTCATCTATTAGAGAAGAATAGGTAGGTTGTATGTGTATAAGTATTTGCTAATAGAGTAGTATATGATGAAGATAAAGTTGAATGTTTCCTCCTCCGACATGGCTTACACTAATCATTCGATGAAATTAAAGATTTAATTAGACAAAAACAGAGAAATTGATAGAACGAAAATTATAAAAATTAAAGGCCTCGACTTTTTTTTTTTTATTTGTTATTTCAACTTCAAAGACCCTTTTTAATGAGCGTGCTCACCATTGTGTTCATCGTGTTTGGCAAATTCTTGTTGAGCAGCGTCGTCAATTTCAGCTGGCTCTTCATCTTCATCGTACTCATGGTGCAACGACAAGGTTGGTTTAACAGCAGCAGAGTCCAAAGTCCACGAGGCCAAAGCATTTTCAGCATCAATAATGATTTGCTTAGAAGCTTCGTAACCATCATAAGCTGGTCTAGTTTCACCTGGGGTGACAGCTGAGTCGTCCAACAATTCCAAAAGAGCCTTACCGTAACCGGCAATCAAGGCGTATTTTTCAGCCAATTCTCTGGTAGCGTCAAATTGGTAGTTGAAAGCTGCCTTCAATTGTTCTCTGGTGATGTTACTCAATTGAGCTTCAGCAACCAAGGATTCAGCTTCAGCTCTAACCAATTCTTGTTCCAAAACTGGGATTTTTGGTGATTGTGGGTCCTTGTACTTCAAGTGAGCAATTTCATCAGTAATCTTTTGCTTTCTTTCTCTAGATGGTTGTACTGAACCTTCAATATCTCTAATGCTCTTCAAAGTGATTCTGTATTGGTCGTACTTGTCGATGTATTGGTCTTCCAATTCACCAATTTCGTAAATCAAAACACCCAATTTATCAGTAACGTCTGAAACATCGTCATCATTGTCTTCACCCCAAGCACTCAATTGTCTAGCAATATCCTTTCTTTCCCTTGAAGTGACTTCAATAGATCTCATCAAGTTCTTTTCCATCTTGATGAATTGAGCCAATTTTCTAGACAATTCTGGGCCGGTGGCACCAGCAGCGGCTTTTCTAATGGATGAGGATAATCCACCAGCACCAAAAAATCTATTCTTGGTGGATGATGGTGGTGGTGGTGGGGCTTGCAATTGAGAGGCGGTTGGAGCCTTTGAGGATCTCAAGGAGTAGGTTCTGTGCATCGTGTGTAGTAGTTGTAGAGTTGGTGCTAAGGAGATTAAGAGGAAGGGAAAGGAAGAAAAAAAAATATATATATAGACTTCAAGGGAAATATTGAATGACTTAAATACTCGACACACAGAGAGAAACACACAAATGCAATTGAACTTAATTTTAGAAAAAATAAAAAAATGAAAAGAAAAGAAGAATAGCAAGTGAAAGTTTTTTTTGTTTCTCTCTTTTATTTTTAATTTAAAAGTGTTGAAGTTTTTGTATATTCAATTTTTTTTTTTTTTTTTAATTGTTGAAGATATTACTACACAAAGACACAATAGAAAAATAGAAACTGTAGCCACACAATATAGAATAAAAATAAGCGCCAGTAATTAATAAAAGGTGAGAGAAGTTTCACTCATGACTTTTCGGGTAAAATAGATACGATGGTTGCTTGACAAGCTGAAATGGCTAGAGGGGGGGAATATCCAAGCTTTTGAGATATCTCGTGATTGATGTTACAATTCGAGAGCGCTGTGATCTACTCTACATCTTAAAATCTCGTAAGTAATCTACATTGTAATTCATTTGTTGGATATAGCAAACTTAAAGAGGAAAAATGTCACTTCAAAAAAAAAAAAAAATTAAACAGTTACGAAAATTAAAAACAAGTGACTTTTTGTTTTTATTTGAAGACTCACTCAAGATTACAGCTCAGTCCATACAAACCCTATGCATGGTCTGCTGCAATAAAAGGTGAGTTTAGAGGCACGCTTGTATATCACTCCAGCATTGACTTCTTTCTTTCTTTCTTTTCTTTGTTTTTCATGTTTTTTTGTCCGAAATTGACGTCAGGCAAATCAATCAGTAACTCTGGTCATGTGCTACCTTGTCTTTTCATTTTTGTGTAATTTTTAAATTGCCTAATTGGGCGACTAAATTGCTATTTTAAACTTCTTTATAAACAACACACTTTTCGATTGTTTTATTTGTCTAAATAGGAATGTGCGCCGCATGCATATAAAACGACTTATAAAGATAAGCACTCAATTATGTTGAATTCACCTTTTTTTTTAGCCTCTAATATTCTGATGTTGAAGATAATCCATCCAGCGGAGTTCTCACTTTTGTCAGATTTCCTGTGGCAAAAGAGATCACCACAGTTACTTTTTATGATTGGATTTTGGATTTAAGCTTCCAACAGAGTCTCTTTGAACATCACTCGCGGGCTAACAAGAATAATGCAATTGCTGACGCAATATTGTAACGTCATGATGGCCGATCCAGCAAAAAGGTGTTCACATAATTTCCAAAGTGTGATCTATACTACGATTCTGTTTCTCCTTATCAAGGATGAAAAAAAAAATTCAACTATGACGTCACATGATGAGTAAATGATTTTGTGATGTTTGATTTTGACAGTTACAGAGATAAACCTTGCCATGGCAGAAAACGGGTCTCCCAGATTTAGCCTTATCCTGAATGTTTCATCCACAGTTTAATAACTGAGTTGAAACTTTTGACGATGGCGCTGTAGGTTTGGTCCGCATGTAAATTGGATGACCTATAGTGAAGTAGTTTTCGCCAAGTTTGTTGCGAAAAAAATTGTGAAGGAAGTGATGATGGAGAAAAGTGTTTATCGACAGAAAGCCTACCCCGTTGTAGTTGAGCCGCTTATGCGTTAGCACATCCCAGAAACTACTTAAAGTAACACATGTTCGGCAAGTTCAGTAGCGCAAGCCGTCATATCCCTTCCTGTTTTCAGAATAGTTTCCACACTTTAATAGTAATTGAAGTACTGCCAGATTAGAAGTCAAAAGCGAGAATTGAATACAAAATACCAAGCAAAGCGGACAATCCTTCAAGGTGTCATATTAAATACAATCTCGGTAACAAAATACCAAAACTAAACAAAGTTGTGGTGTAAAATAATTTTTTCTTGTCGTCTGCTGAAATTCGATCCAGTTCGTTTGCGGCACAATGGTTGCAAGTGATTGGGGCAACCGGCCCCATATTAGCAGCAACTTAAAATACAAGCCCTTTACCCCGCGCCATAAGGGATGGTGAGGAATCACCTAAAGGGAACGAAGGGTTTATTCACGAGACATTTTGAACTCACGGTGATCAAACGAATATATTACAACAACTACTTAGACAAAAAATGCAAGTATTATCTTGAGGAAAGTTCCTCCTGAATATTGTATTCGATTAGTTCATTTTTCAGCCTTGATCAGTCCGCCTTTTTCTTTTTACTTTCAAAACTGTCTTTGCCATCAAATTTTCTCTTTACCGGAAGTCGTAAATCTCCAAGTATCCTGTAATAATCTTCTTCCAAAGCTTGGTAAGCAGTTTGTAACTTGTCCCTTCTAGTGGCTTCGTCCAATGCATCCAACCCTTCCTTATTCTTCTTGTACAACCTTCTCTTTATGAACAACCTCACTTCCGACTTGGATACGTCCTTGTTGTGCTTCAATTTATATAGCAAAATCAACTCCAACAACCTTGCAAATTGTCGCTTCTCCAACTTTAACTGAGCTCTTGCATTTTTAATCCACTCTTGATCAATGTCCTTGGCAACAACCTTGTCAAAGTCAAATCCCAATTCACCCAATCTCTTCAAATCTGCTCGATCTCTCATATCATCAAAACCTTCATTTGGATCTTCAACAACGATTTCAACAATATCCTTGTTTGCTAGCCAGTACTTGCAAAGGTGGCTATAAAACAATTGGCCCAAACCTTGTCCTTGATAAGTTGGAAGTATAATAAATTGCGATGTTTTTATTCTAACCTCCAATTTCTCATTGTCAAAGTTCTTGGCTCCTGGATATTTCCAGTAGTTGTAAGCAGTCGTGAACCCAACAATTGAAGGCTCCTTATCCTCTGGTGCTTTTTCATAAAGTACATAAAGATCCCACAAGTCATCTTCAGCATCAATGAACGAACCTGCTTCAATGTACAACAACACCAAAATTTGTAACCGTTTATGCAACTCTAACCCCGCTGCCAGTTTCAAGTCAATCTTGTATATCTGGTACTCAATGTCGTCTTTTTTGAAACTATCTATCCTAGCGCCCGGTATTTGGTAACTCTTTTTCTCTTCATTTATTGAATCAACCCACGCAATTTCATCTTTGAATACGGTACATTCTGGTACGTACTTATCCATCGTCGCTTTCAAATCAACCAATTCTGGATCATCCAACTTCTCCTTGTACTTGATGTTCAAAAATGGCTTGAACGTGTAGTGGTCAAAGCATAGGAAAATATTCAAGTCTTTATAGCCATAAATTGTTTCAGCGTCTCCAAATATTGGGTATGTGAACAAAGGTTGGAAATTGATTGCTTGCTCTCCATCAGTGATGAACAACTTGAGGGCGTCGTTTGAGGAGGATGTCCATACCTCAGGCTGCAAGGATGCTGCCGATATCTGTTTACTATTTTCTAATGACATTGGTGCTTGAGACCGGTGACGTTGTTGTGTGTTCGTATGTTGTTTACATGATTTTTTTTTTTTTTTTTTTTTTTTCTTCGCTTCGTCCAACGCGCTTAACCTCCACACAACCTCTCTCTACAACTTTCATAATTCATATAGTAAAACCATTAATTAATATTTACAGATTACCTTAAGCTATTCTATAACAACAACCAAATCACCTGCATCAACCATATCACCATTCTTGTGATATATCTTGACAACCTCCCCTCCCTTTGGAGCATTAACCATCATCTCCGTTTTCATGGCTTCAACGACAATCAATGGCTGATCTTTGGCAACTTTATCACCAACACTAACAAGACTTTTCCAGAATCTACCAGAGTATTCCGAATAAACCATTTCGGCATTCTCATTAAACTTTTCATCCTCTTGTACCTTGGCTCCATTTTGTTCCAATTCACTATTTGAAATTTGAATCAATCTGTTAAACTCTTCCAACTTTTCACCACCCTGTGATTGTTTAAACTGTTCAATAGACTCAGAGTTTGCTTGGATCCATTGCAAGTATTGACCGTGATCAAAAACGGATTCAATAATGTCAACTTTGAATCTTCCCACATTCATTTCCTCGGAAAACTTGTCAATCTCTGCTTCACTAACTGGGTAAAACTCAATTTGGTCAAATGGAGACAACAACCATGGCTTTTCAGTGGAGTGCTCACCAAGCGTTAATTTGTCCCAAATTGGTACGGTTCTACCAACTAATTGGTATCCACCTGGTGATTCCATGGTATAGATACACATGTAGTTACCACCAATACCAACAGTACCATTGGGTGTGTAGGTTCTTGAGGGGTTGTACTTGGTTCCCAACAATCTGTGTCTTGGATCTAATGGCACGGCACATGGTGCACCAAGGAAAACATCACCCAATCCCAAAACCAAGAAACGAGCAGTGTACAACATATCCTTAACGTCATGTCTAGTGATTCCATTGATATTGGCGATGAAATCAACATTGTTTGGCAACCAAGGAGCCTCGCTTCTAATTGTTTCTTCATATCTTTTAACTGCATCCAAAGTCTTTTGATCTTCAAACGCCATTGGCAACCTAACAACTCTGGACTTGACTTTCCACTTGTTGACAAAGACCATTTCCTTTTCATAAGCAACAAGAATGTCCAATGCTTCCTTTTGGGTAACTTCATCGGTAAATTCAACCAAAACTGATCTGACACCAGGTGACAATTCATAGATCCCCTTTGGCCTGTATTCTTTAACCATTTCAACCAACTTGTGGATTCTGTAAGCTTTATTCAAATCCAAGATGTTTTCACCATATTCAACAAGAATATATCTGTCACCAGCTTGACGATAAGTAATTTTTGGTGAGGTTTCAGACACTTGAATTTGACAAAGAACAGGAGTTTCTGGATGCACCAATCCAAAACTTTCAACGTCTCCCAATTCTCCTTTCAAAAATTCAATACCCGAATCTTGTTGACGTTTCAACTGTTTAGCAGAGTCATATGTGATTGGAATAAACTGAATTGATTCACCAGGCTTAACTTGACCAATCTTCCACAATTCGGCTTCGGCAACGACTGCCTCACAAACAAATCCTCCCAAACTTGGACCGTCACAGGTCAAAACAACCGGTTCATCACCAGTAAAGTTCACTGCACCCATGGAATAAACATAATCATGAGCGTTTGAAGGGTGTAAACCAGCCTCGCCACCATCAGATCTGGCCCACTTTGGCTTTGGTCCAATCAATCTAACACCAAATCTATTTGAGTTGTAGTGAACTTTCCAAGTTGATGAAAAGAATTCAGCAACTGATTCTGGCTTGAAGAAATCTGGCGACCCATGAGGACCACAAGTAACACCAATTTGCCAAACTTTATTATCATAGTTGGGAATGAGTGAAGATGGGATTGACGTTGGATTAGAGACTGGCGGAGCCAATGTGCAACTGGATATTTCTGGTTGTCCCAAAAACAACACATCTCCAAATTTCAAAACCCTTCCATTGTAACCTCCCAAATTACCCAATGCAAATGTGGATCTTGAGCCCAAGTACTCAACAACATCAACACCGCCTCTGATGGCCAAGTAAGCACGGCAACCGGTTGTCAACTTACCGATTGATAAAGTGTCGCCGCTCTTGATTTCAATTGGCTCCCATTGTGAAGCTTGTTTGCCATTGACCTCAACTGGTGCTTGTCCTCCAGTAACAGCAACAACACATTCTTGGTGGAACAAGATTTTTGGTCCATTGAGTGTGATTTCCAAACCAGGTGCAGTACTGTCATTACCAACTATTCTATTAGCGAGTCTGAATGAGTATTGATCCATACATCCTGAGGGTGGAACCCCGATATGCCAGTATCCTCTTCTACCTGGATAATCTTGAACGGTAGTGTAAGCACCAGGACTAAGAATTTCAAAAGCATGTGGCTTGTATTCATAAGTATCCAACACTTTTGTAGCCACCTTGGCCTCTTCAAACATCTTGGAGTTGGCAATCGAACGAAGGTAATCAACGTTGGTGATACATCCATAAACAACAGTTTCATCCAAAGCTTGACGCAACTTCTTCAACGCATCGTTTCTATCCTTTCCATGAACGATAATCTTTGCCAATGTTGGGTCGTATTCAGCTGAAACGACAGTACCTTTTTCAACCCAAGTATCAACTCTAGCCCACTTGGGGAACTTGACTTCAGTTAATTGACCTGGTGATGGTTTGAATCCCTTTGCTGGGTTTTCAGCATATAATCTAGCTTCCATCGAAGCTCCCTTGACTTCAACTTTTTGACTGAAATCAGGTGGCGTATCTGCGGCAATCAAAAGCATCCATTCAACCAAGTCCAAGCCTGTCACCATTTCAGTAATTGGATGTTCAACTTGCAATCTAGCATTAACTTCAAGGAAGTAAAACTCATCTCTCTTTGGGTCGTAGATGTATTCAACAGTACCAGCACACTTGTAATTCAATGAGGCACCCAAACTTTCAGCTGCTTTTCTCATTCTTTGACGTGTAGCTTCAGGCAAATTTGGAGCTGGGGTCTCCTCTATAATCTTTTGGTTTCTTCTTTGCAAGGAGCAATCTCTTTCACCAACAGCAATGGCTTTGCCGTACCCATCACCCAACATTTGGATTTCCACGTGCCTAGCATTTTCAACAAAACGTTCAAGGAATACTCCGGAATCACCGAAATATGACAAACCTTGGTGTTGGACAGTTTCAAAGACCCTTTCAATGTCATTTTCGGAGTCAACTTTTTGCAAACCAATACCACCACCTCCTGCAGTTGATTTAACCATGACTGGGTACTCCAATTTGGCAGCAATTTCTCTAGCTTCCTTGGCATCTTTAACCAATCCAGAACCAGGAACCAAAGGTACACCAGCTTTCTCGGCAATTTCACGAGCTGAATGCTTCAATCCCAACTTTCTAATAGCATCACCAGATGGACCAACAAAGACAATGCCCTCTTTGCCACAACGGTCAGAAAAGTCAGCGTTTTCTGACAAGAAACCGTACCCTGGGATGATAGCTTCGGCGCCGGTCTGCTTAGCTGCGTTTATAACCTTGTCAATATCAATGTATGTTTGTGCTGCAGTTGTACCATGCAATGGGACTGCAACATCAGCACTTGTGACATGTTCAGCATACTTGTCAGGGTCTGAGTATATGGCAATAGACTTGACGCCTAGTTTCTTCAATGTTTTGATTATACGAACGGCAATTTCACCTCTGTTTGCAACCAAGACCGAATTGAATGGTTTTTTGTATTTTTTGGCTTCAGTAGCGAGATGTTCTTGATAGTTTTTCCATCCTCCATGAATAGAAATATCAACTGTTCCAGGAGCATTGTAACCAGCTTCTTCACAAATAAATGATTTTACCCATTCTCCAGATGCCAACTCAGCGGATCCAATACCCAACGGTTCAGGAACGAAATTGATAAAAGTTCCAAAGTTTTCTTTCGGTATGGTGTAAACTTCAACGGCGATGTGAGATACATTTTCGGAAACTCTTCTTAAACCAGGCTTTGCAACTGGGCCTGTTTTTGGCAAAGCATAAAGCTTATAGTTTTTGGAGGTTGTTGTTGATTCAACAAATCTAGCATCAACTTTCTCCAATTGCCAGTGTAATTGGAATCCCTTCAAATGTGCACCTACCACTGCCAACTTTACTTGCTCTGTAGGAATGGTTTTTGGAATACTTGGGAGTAACTCATCAGAAATTGATGACTCGATCAACTTATCTTTCAAAGCACCGTAGAAAAATGGCACTGTTTTGGTGTACGATTCCATGTATCGACTTGCCAAATCTAATAATGCATAATCGTTGAATTTATGTGACAACAAAGTAATACCAAATGGCTGGCCATCTTTTCTAAACCCGGCTGGAATAGCTAATCCTGACAAATCAGCCAAGTTGACAAAGTTTGTGTAGGTTCCTTGACACGAGTTGACTCTAATTGGTTCAGCAAGAACATCTTTGATTTTTGGATTCAAAGGAGCAGTTGGCACAATGATTGCATCAATGTTCTTCAACAATCTTTTCACCTTTTGCAATATTCTTTGTCTCTTGTATTCGAATTCAAAACATTGAGCAGCGGAATAGTTTTCTCCACCTTTGACAATTTTGAGAACAGTTGGATCCAAGTCCTTTGTGGGTGGGTTGGTTGCTAAAAAGTCTCGTACTGCAACAAATCTTTCCGTTACCCAAGGACCCTCGTACAAACACCTGGCCAACTCAAGTAATGGCTCAATGTCCAATGAAACCAATTCGGCTCCAACGTTGTCAGCAAAGATCTCAACTGCTTTGTTGTATAATTCCGGATTTTCAGTCTCACCGCACCATATCAAGTTAGTAGGCACAACGAGTCTTGGTTTTTTGGAAAACTTTAATAAGGGATTGGCTGGCATTTCCCTGGAATACTCATCATTTTCACCATCCTCTTTGGCCATGATTTCAAACGCTACTTGAGCATCTTGTAAATTAGTTGAGAAAATGGAGACACAATCCAACGATTTGCACGCTGGGACTACTCCACTGCATGAAAATACACCTTTTGTTGGCTTCAATCCAATGATGTTGTTTAATGCTGCTGGTACTCTACCTGAACCCGCAGTATCTGTACCCAATGAAATAGGTACAATTCCTCTAGCAACAACCGAAGCAGAGCCGGCTGATGAGCCACCGCTTACATACTCTTTGTTGAAAGTGTTTGGAGTTATGCCATATGGGGATCTAGTACCAACCAAACCAGTAGCAAATTGGTCTAAATTTGTTTTGCCTAGTATGATTGCACCGGCTTCTCTTAATAATTTGACAGTTGTGGCATCCTTTTCGGGCTTGTACGCGAACGAAGGACATGCTGCAGTTGTTTCAAATCCTTTAGCGTCAATGTTGTCCTTAACGGCTATTGGGACCCCGTATAATGGGAGTGATGTTTTATTGGCTTTTGATTGTAAAAAGTTCCATTGGTGGGTTAAGTCGTCGACTGTAGCTAATGAGATCCACGCAGGGTCTTCTGGGGCAGTTTTCTGTGATTTGAGGAGGTCGACCAATAACTTAAGTGACTCATTTGGCGTTGAGTTGTAATGTGCGTTTTTCCAGTCCTCGACTGTCCAACCAATTGTAGAAACCATGTTTGGAATATGCTAGTTTGTAGTAGAAGGTTGCAATCAAAGAGAACTAAAGTGTTATTCAAATTCCTACACTGGAGGGGGGGGGGGTCAAAACATTTATATACCTTTGTTCATTTCTATTTACTTTACAAGCGGCAAATCCCGATAGCAGAAACCTATGGAGTTTTTGATTGAAAAATTTTTTGTTATATATGGGATGCATCTTTTGTGTAATAAGTACACTGATAAGGCAAAAAAAAAAAAGAAGAAGGAATATTAATGTCTCTCTCTTTCAAAAACGACAATTCAGTGCGAGTGTGTGTGCGACACTGTAGTATTAAATGTCGCAAGATATTTTTCTGATAAACGGAGAATGTCGTAGCCAATTAATGATCGCTTGCCATTTTCGGCCCATGGGATTTGGAGCGAAGCAAAAGCCCTTTTGCACGCAACAATACTTAGTGAACGGACCACTTTGAGATGAGGCGATTGCGTTCTATTGTTGGTAGCACATTCTGAGAATGATGACGACAGCGCTTTTGCATATTCAAGTTTTTACACAGTTTCTTACAACTCAAATTGTCAGTCTCGGATATATCCGTGAACATAGCTCAAAGGTCAACAACAAAGTGTAAGTATAGCGTAGTGCCAATAAAACTACCTAGACTAATAGGTCTGTGACAGAGTAAGAGGGCGGACCGAATACATCACCAGAGTCAAGAGCCTTGTCTGTACGCTAGTAAGCGATAAGGGAGAGAGTTCTCATTGATAACAACTAAGAAACGTTTCTTTCGATTCTCCAAGCACTTCAAATCCCGCGTAAGGTTTCTTATCCAGATTGTAAGTGTGAGAAACGTTTTGTTGAGTATACTACTGCTCAAACACTCCTCGACGTTATGCTTTAAAATTGGGGGACTCTTATTGGAGTATGATAAGAGAGAAAAGTTCGTATGGCAAATGAATTAGTCCAATAAATATTTTATTTTATTTTATTTTATTTTTTTTTATTTCTTCTTTCTCTGCGGCCCGGAATTAACCCGTGGTTGACTATTTTTGTGTTATCAACTTACTAATCGCTAATCTGCTTGATCTCTTATCAAACAGCCACAGATTCACAGATTCTCTATTGTAATCCCGCTAGAAGTGGTATTTAGCTGTTAGTTGGTAGCCGGAAAAAAAGGCTACAACAACTACTCAAAGGTATTTTCACCAATAAGCAATAACTTATATTATTTCTAAAATTTATTGCAATCTAATAATACAGTATACGAAATCATACATAACCTTGTCAACGATACTACTTCTTTTCATCAGACAACTCATCGTCAATGTTACCATAGCTCATCTCCACAGCTCTACCATCAACAACCTGGGGATTAGATAATTGTGCAATCACCTGTGATTGAACTGCATGCAATTCTTCTGGATGGTGATTCTGCCATTCTCTCAACTTGTATGTTTGTCCAGTCAAGTCCCAATATATTCCTCTTCCGGTATTGTAAAGACTGTGTCTTCCCTCCCAAACTGGGTATATAATGACTTGGAAAACAGTGTACCATATCCAAATGAAAAACACCACAACCCACCCAGTGAAGAACTTACGCGAGAAAATGTACTTGCTTCCGTATAAGGGCATTGGCCAAATCACCAACAAACTCAACGTCATGAATACACAAACACCAACGCACCACTTGAATGCCTTATGCAACTGTTCTTGGTCCTTAGTGTATTGTGGTCTCTCTTCTTCTACCAAATGACTGGCCAAAACAGAGATTTGTGACTTGACTGGTGACAACTTTTCATCATCATTGAAATTGTCTGATTTCGTAGCCTCCATCAACTCTTCTTCTTCACTGACTCTGGTGATTCTTGTTTCCAACAACTTCCAGTTGAAATTCTGTGGCTTGAATATTATTGTAAATAAGGGCACGGTAATCAAGGGAAACAACAATGCAACAACATTACCCGTCAACATTGAATCATCCTCAAACAAGTTGTCATATGAGATGGTACCAAACTTTGTTTTACAGACAACCAACCATGCCATGATAGCCAAACCGGTGGCGATTGGTGGCGTGAACGTAGCTGCATGCCAGTTTTGCTTGGAAGACAATATTGTCATTGCTGAACTCAAGACGGCACCACCGATAATTATTCCCATCAACTCATACAAGAACCCCATTGAAACATTTGCATAGTAGAGACCAATGGCGAACCCGGCCATAGCATAAGCAAAAACACCACATGCAATGTGTGACATGAAAATCAACTTTTTACCACTGGCATTTGGGTTGATGTAAGTTCTGTAGATATCGTAGGTGGTGATGGTTGATACGGCAATCAATTCTGAAGACATTGCACTAGTAACAGCCATGTAAATCATAATCAAGGCCAAGACGGCACCGCCTTTTCCCAACAAAGCAGAAGCAGCATTAGGTAATACCAAACCAGCTGCAACTTCATCACTGGTCATTGGTCTCCCCAATGGCCAGTAATCAGTGTACTCCAATGACAAAGCAGCGAAACCCATAGTCAATGAACAGAATGCTGGGATTGGAAGCCAAGCCAATGACCCCAAGATGTAACCTTTGTAAGCAGAAGCTGGATTAGCTGCAAACGCCTTGTTGAAGTATCCATTGTCCAAAAACACAGTACCAAAGTTACCAACGATATTGATGACAAAGAATATACCTCCTGATTTGGAATTAAATGTCAAGAATGATCCATCGTGGTTTCCATCGATTGGCTTGATATCTGCTAATTTTGTAACTGCCTCCCAAACAACTCCCGGTGATCCCAATTTATGGCTTGTTGCCCATGTGCTGAAAGCAAAGATAATGATTATGGTAACCATAATGACTGTGTGGGCGTAATCTGTCAAGATAGTAGCTTTTAATCCACCAAATACCGAGTACACAGTTGGAGAAAGACCAATCAACAAACAAGCGGCAACAGGATGCATTCCAGTCAAGTCGCAAACAGTAGCTGAACCACCAGTCAACAACATGGCAGTCACCAAGATGTTTGTGGCAAGACCCCAGAATGTGTAAACAATGTGAGTTGCAGTTCCATATCTTGCACGAACGATTTCCAAGTATGTCCTAGCCAGTGGTGCTCTCTCTTTAGCTTTAATAGCCAAGGTTGCAAACAATGTGATTTGAACAGTGGCACCAAATGCATAACTGCACGATCCAAAGATACCATTTTTGTAGGCTTGTGTAGTTGACGTCAACAATGTAGCTGCCCAAGTCCAAGATGACACAACAGCAGCACTGATTAAACCTGATTTGACTGACCTACCAGCGGTAGCAAACTCTTCGGCTGTGATGATCTCCTTGTTGTATCTTTTCAACAAGTAAGTGGTTAATATCATACCAATGGCAAATACTGCACCTAACCCAACTACGATGGCATAACCAGCACTTTGAGGAAGTGGAACGAATGATGTGTCTGCCATTATTTTCAAAGTGATGATGTTTGATGTATGTTGTAGACGAGTGAAAAATCTGAAAAATTTGAATAATTGGTGGAGACATTAATTCCCCTTTATATAATCACTCATCTCAAGGCTATTGTTCAAACTCTATTGTCTCATCTCTATTGTTACAAGCGTCAGATGCAAAGACAAGAGCTTATCTCGGTTGTTGGAAAATTGGCTGCAAGAATTTTAGACCTGCACAATCAAACATCTGTTTTCTATTTTTTTTTTTTCCCTCTATTCTGCACAGAAGAAGAAGAAGACATCTGTTTTTTTTTTTCTTATCTCTGTCTCAATTAGTACAAACTATTGATAACAAGAAACTACTATACACTCCTTCAATACCAGCTTACATGGGCATATTAATTGATAACGTCTTGAGATACTCTGCAAAAACTCTAAAATCTGGGATGCCTCGTAATTGAGATGGAATATCGTACATATTCTGGGGTAGAAAGGGGTGCTCTTCTCACTATGCAACTGCAATAATATTTTGGCTGCAGAGTTCAGTATTCCAAAACGTGGACATGGGGGACATTGTAAATACGGTCTGAGATAGACAAAACCTCACTCAAGGTATCTTCGTCTTTACTTTGATTATGCAATTCTTCTGAGCCAATGAAAAAACACACCTGTTGTAAGGCAATTTAGATTATTCTATTTTGTGAAGCTTATTCAGTTTCCATAAAAAAAATTCTTCAAACCTCTCTTAACGGGAAATGTCATCTCTGATAAGAGAAAGAAAAAAAAAAGGCATATTGTGTTGATACACGACTCGCTTATGATTGGGCCGTTAACGCTTGATAATTGTTTCTGTGTAAGAACTTTTTGAGATTTTGAGGCAAATTGCAGTCAAATTGACATGTGCTTCTCCGTCATATGCGAGGAAAGCGCAAGTGCAACTGTGTGGATGGCATAGTTGCTAACGCAACGCTGACAGGTAACTTGGACGATGTATGTATACATGAAGAGCTAGGCATGTTGACAATGAATGAATTGAATGACGTTCTTTCTTTTGAAAATTTAGATTACAGAGAAACGCCTTGGTTCGTTCTGCACTGAAATTGTGGAAAAATTACGGGCCGCATCATACTCATAACCAACGTATGTTTTTGTTTTACCTTTTATCATTCTTTCCTAAGAATAGGATTTATAGAGATGTACTGGTGTATATACACCGGCCGTCTGGTTCCGTCTAATTTCTCGTGTATTTATTTATTGCATGAGTTCTTTGCCGCGCGGGCCGGCGAGACCTAGATCTGAAAATCTTTTATCAGGTGAAAGATGAAATCTGTATCTTTATGAACCTAATCAGCACAATCACTGACGTTGTAAAGCGAAAGATGGCTCATCGTCTCCAAGTCAGTTATGCAACAAATTCCCACTATTGATGCTCTGAAAAGGAAAAGGCTCTGGTAAAGAGTATTTCTATTTGGTTTTTCACAAAAATTGGATGATTGTCAATAAAAATAGTTACACACAATAGTATACATAAAATAATATGATAACTCATAAAAACAACTGTCTCCACAAATACACCAGCACATCTCTATGAAACCTATTTCTATAACAGCAGAAACATCACATTGGTGAAAAGCAAAAAGTAAAGTAAAATGTCCATTTGTCACTCTATCTCTTTGTAAAATAAAATTTCTCCTTGTTCTTAAACACAATTTATGCTATGGCATAATCAACTGACTCTAAATCGATTCGTTATATTCCCTATCATCAACTTTACCCTCCAATTCATTTCTGATTTCCTCCATTTGGGTAACTTGCTTCTTCCATTCTTGTTTCTCCTTCTCATCATCAGTGTCTTTGACGAAAAAAGAGTCATCGGGTCTTCTATAAGACCTTCCGATTCTATCCCACAAGGTAGTAAATTGTCCGTAGTTGTAGTTGAAGTATAAATGATGGACAGTATGGCATGCAGTTCCATTCACTACAGGATCATTACTCATGTAATTTCCATCGTGAATCATGACTGTCCAAAAATTGACAAACGTAAACAAACCCAAGTACAAGACCTTGTGCAATGGGAAAAACAATGGGTAAAGATGGTATGGTAAACTTTGAGCCCATCCATCGACTGGGTGGAAAGCATGCGAAGCAAATGGGGTACAAACGATCCACTTGTGATGAGGTTTATGCAATCTCTTGTAGACTGAAGGCCAATGTAGCCACCTATGAATGAAGTAAATCAAACAATCAGTAAACAAAATAAACATGGGGATCAGCAACAAGAGAAATTTCCAGCCACCGGTGGATTCATTAATATCAAAATAAAGACGCGAAAATCCCTTCAATTCCAAAAGGAAAAATGGGTTGGTCAAAGCAACCATGACGGGGATTGCTGTCATTGCACGTTCAATCTCCAACCACATTTGATTCTTCAAGTACCTTGGATGATTGAATATTTTCTTATCAAAAACAAAGACATAACTGAAGTAAGCGACAATCAAGTACAATAACCAACCAAAGATTGTAGTCACCACTAAAATACTCAATGACTCTCTCAAGATATTCGACCTAGATAAGATGGAACTGGAAAAGTAGTCACCTTCCGGTAAAAAGATGGGCTTCAATCCATAAATCTCTGATTTGTTTTGCAAACTCATAAACTTGGCCCACAAGTACGAAGGTATATTGGCAAAATTGATACTGGTGCTATTGAATTGGAAACTTAAAGCATTGGACGCATGTGAAGATGTGGAGTTTGCAAATATAGCACTGTCGAGTGGGTCGTATCCACTGGCAGTTGCACTTGCGGGAAGATATTGGGACACTTTTGACGAAACTTGTTGAACAACAGGCGAGTTCTGCAAGAATTGGTCAACTTTCCCACCTTTGGGCAATGCCGCAGCATATAGCTTGTCGAAAATGAAGTAGTCACAGATTTCTAATACGATATCCATGTCGTGTTGTGTGTATAAAGAGCAGAAACGTGGGCTCTTTGAAAAATTTGATGTGAAAGTTAGCTGAAAGCTGCTAGATGCGATGAAAGGAAGCTAGTGTAGCTAGTATAGTAGTGATGTGTGGTATTGGTGGTACTAGTTGTGAGCCAGGAGTATATAAAGCGAGTGTAGCGAAAGGGTAATAAATATATAGGCAATGTATGGATTTTGTTTATAATCCACTTCGTTCTCTCGTATAGAAAAAGACTTTTTTTTTTTTATATATTTTTTTTTATTTTTATTTTCTTTGAGAATCTTTTCGGAAACGAGGGATAAGTTCCGAAGATGCAAAACTAGAGTTTCAATTCTAATTGGATCAAATGACGAAAGTGTTGTGACAATACCTCAGTTCTTCCTTGTAATGGTAGCAATTAAAATAAGGAAAATTGCGCAAGCTAGAAATAGTCTACGTTTCTTTCCTTTACATTTGTATGCCCCGAATTTCTGCCGCTTAAGGTGTTGCGTCTTCGTGGGATGATGATTTTTCCGTCTCTAATATGTTGGAATGTGTCAACACAGAGCAAGAGAAACAAACAAAAACAACGCGTGGTGTCCGTAGTGCGTGCATGCATGCATTTGGAATAGTGGAGTGATTCTTGCAGTGTAATGCTTGACAACCTATACGAAGCTATGCTACGGGCTACATATGAGGCAAGTTCTGTCTACACAACTCAAAAGAGTTCGCTTAGCATTTGCAAAAGATTTGTATGACACGTTTCTTATCAGATCCTTTACTAACGAAAGCTATTCTATAAACCAAAATCAATCTAATCCATTGTTCAAGATTTTGTCCTCCCAATTAGTAATTCTCCAACCTATTTCCAATGACCTCCGACCCTGTTCTTTTTTTTTTTGTTTTTTGTTTTTTTCTTTTCTTGCTTTCTCCATATTTGTCAGGTCCAGAATCGGACTCGATCCATCAAAAGCCATTTGGGTTTTGTGTATTTTTTTGTCTCATCTGTATCTCGTTCCCAGACGCAAAGCGCTCTACCAAGTTGCTAAACGAGAGAATAGATAGGGCGGCGAATCGATGCTTTCAAAATAAGGGGAGAGACAGACGTCTATTATAATGGCCAGACAAGTACAGTTTTATCTATTCCAACAGTTGTAATATCCACCTTTCAGTACATTACAGCCTGAAAGCTCTCTTTAACCAAGCAAACTTTGTTACAATTCTATACGACGAAATATGTTTTTGTGTAATCTCATGAAAGATTGCAAAACAAACCTACGCTACCAAATTTAGTCCTATACAAAAACATATGCCTGCAGTTGAGCAACACTGCATGTAGATAATCATAGTAAATCTAGTAGATCAGCATTGATCCCACTCGTGTTAGCACTATTACTTGATTGCGAAGGTGTTGTTGATATATTAGGTGTCATACTTCCACCTTTTGGTGACAAGACTGACGAGTTGAAACCTGGTGGGTAGTTGTTTCTTCCCTGCAGCAGTGCACTAGTGTTGGGATTATTATATGAACTTGAAGGGGTGGTAGGTAAACTCTTCATTTTACTGGCTTCTGATACCCAGTTCGTCTTCTTACTCGAATTGAGTTTGTTGTTGGCTATGTTCGCCAGTTGGAAATCGTCAAAATCGTCGTCAGCTACATCGTCATGGTACGCTGGCCCAGCCCGATCAAATGTACTCTTCAAACCATCAAACAAGTTCGATGATCCGGTGGAGCTGTTGTTGTTAGTGGCGCCAAATCTTAAAGGAGTACTTTGCGTTAGATTTATAGGTGTCGATTTTGATGTCGTTGATGATGTCTTTGGTCTCAAAGGTGTGGACGTGCTAGGTTTCGTAGACGTTGCACGTGACGAGCTGGAGCTTTTCCGCATTGGTTGCATCACTTGACTCTTTGGAACAATTTCTGGCTTCTCTGGTTCCTTGATGGCTTGAGATTCCAATAATGTCTCGAAATTGGCCGTACCTGTATTCCTTTGCGCACTGCCATTTGCAGATCTACCATTCAAGTTCCGTTCTGGTAACTGGGCCAACTTCTTTTCTGTCATCTCCTTTTGTATCTTGTTTATGATAGTCATGAATGACCTGAACTGCTTCTGGTCACAATCAGTGCACTCAAAGGCAAATGTATAGCACTGGGGTATAATTGAGTCAACCTGAGTTTTCAAATCCAAGTGCATATCCTCATTTGATACAATCTTTTCAAAAAACTTGAGTATCCGAACCACAATCTCCTCCTCTCGGTTCTTTAATGCCTTGGTCACGGTGAGAAACTGTTCATTGATAATGATTGCATCAATGGCTTTTGCATCAACAAATTTCTCAAACGTGTTCAAGATTTTCAACTTGGTGGAAAAAACAGATGTCGCTTGGAGAATCTTTATCAACAATGGGAAAAATGTATTTTTCATGTACGAAAAGTCAATTTTGGCAACAAAATTCGGTATGTAATCGAGAAATGTCTCCTGTAGTTCAATTTGGACTTCCTTCTGATCTTGTTCTTTAGATGCTAGTGTAAACACAAGGTCCAAAATTGCTTTTATAAAACTCATAAATTGCTTATCGTTCGTCTTTTCTTGTAAAACATTCAAATTCCTTATCAAAGTTAATCTGGTCTTCACTGACGCGTTAATAAGTTTGGTAAAAGTTTTCAACTTCTTGCTCTTGGCCTCGTCTTTGAAAACAACGTCATAAACTTTTTCCAGTAGCGACGAGCTATCCTTCAACAACACATTATAAACTCTATCCTGGAAAGTCAACCCCGACATCGATTTTGAAATAACCATGATCAACTCTAAAGACAATGAAATCAACTCATCGATATTGGAGTCAATGGCAACGGTTTCATCCAATACGGTCAACTCATTTATAACCTGTCCAATCAATAATGGCAAAATCTTCAGCGATCTAAACGCTGATGGAAACCGGCTAATCAAGGCGCTCTGTGTTGACGGTTCAACTTTCAATAATCCCCTCATAAATACCAATTTTTCATCAATTGATTTAGTTGTAAACTCGTCAATAAACCACATGGCTTTGATTATTGTGCCATTGAAAAAATCTGAATCTATAAATCGGTCCAATCTTAGCCTATCGTAAGGATACCTAGCGAGTAGTTGAGGAAAAAGGGGGTACAACTGTTCCGGTACTTTCTTCAAAATATATTTCAACTCATTAGGGCTAGCTCGGTGGCTGTAAAATTTCGATTCAAATTTACGAAATTGATGCTTGTAATCTTGAATACTGGTTGTGTCTTGCAAGTGAATTAACAGAACACCTTCATCGTAATTGTATAAATGGAAAATCAACATTCCGAACGACCAAATATCGTTAGCAAAATCCAACTTTGGTTGGGCATCGACAATCAACTCCGGTGCCGTAAAACTTAAATTCAAATTTGCAAATGGAATAAAAGAAGATGAATTCATGATATAAAAATTGTCTCGTTCTTGAGGAGAAATCTCGTTGAGGTTTTTAAGAAATGTAAAACCTGCCAACTTCCAATCACCTTGATTGTTGATGAAGATCGACGATGGCCGAATATTCAAGTGAATTATGTTGCACTGGTTGTGAATAAATTGGAGTCCCTTGGCCACCTGCAACAACCCTTTTTGAATCGACAACTCATCCAAATCTTTTGAAGCGGCTGTATTTAAATCACTCACAACTGCTTCGGTGACAAATAGGAATTTTGTCTTTGTCTCCTCCAATGGCTCAAGAGTTGTCAATACCTGGGGATGTCTCAATTTACTCAATTGGTTCACTTCAAATTTAACCAACTCATAGCACTCTTTGATGACTTTCTTGGGACTGCTATTTGCAGCTAATGATGACATTTGACACATTCGATGCACTTGCGACTCAAACTTCAGTTTATCAAATATGAAAACGGAAACTATTCGGTTGTTTGTCTTGTGCTTGGCTGGGTATATCGTCCATGGCTCGCTGGCAAAGGATGGATTATCCAGAACATTGTAAGTTGCTCTAATCCCAGTTTTGAATCCCAAACTGCTCAACATTCTTGCTGAATCGTAATCTATGGAGTTTCGTATTATATATGTGTTGTCACGACTTCAACGAAAGATGCGATATTTTTCGCTTGTCGGGTTTAGGTGATTAACAAACTATACAAATTGGAACATACAATCTGTTGAAAAAATGGGGCAAAACTAATCGAGCTTACGGATGACTCTCTTCCCTTGCTTACTCGTTTGTAGACTACGTCAATGGATCAACACTTGAAGCGAACAGAATGATACAAAAGAAAAGAAAAATTTACACCTATTGGATATAATAGAGTTTGCTAGTGGCAGAACATGCCAAAAACCTATTAGGAAAACAAAGAGAGCGAATGCAAAGTAGTGGAGAAAAGCTATATTAATACGTATTTACAAAACCCTACTCGAACAGAATCTATGCTTGTGCAAAACTACAAACATGTCAATGCAGACTTCTTATCACATAGGATTAAAGCCCGATGCGTTATAAGATGGGTCTTTCGAAGGTATGTAAACGGACGTCTCGCCCCTAAACTCACCTCCAAATCCACCTCCTCTACCTCTGCCCCTGTAGCTGCCTCTGAAACCACCTCGGAATCCTCCCCTGCCTCGATGGCCTCGATGGCCACCACGGCCTCTACCTCTATAACCACCCCTATCATACTCTTGTCCATTTGCAGCGGCAATAGCAGCTTCTTGTGCCGCTTGACCTCCGTGCTTACCCCTACCAAACTGTCTTCCTTCTCTGAATCCTGGATCCAAATCTATTGATATACTTTGGCTATCAAGAATGGTGGATTGTAAATATTTCATGGCATTGAGTGCTCCTTGTTCAGTTCTGTAAATGACAAAGCAAAACCCACACGGTGTCAACTTGTTCCGATCTAACCCCATTATGATCTTGTCTATAGCACCACATTTCATGAATAATTCGTGTATTTGCTCTTCTGTCGTGAAATGAGATAAGTTGCCCACGTACACGGTCCGCGAAGTCAATGCCCGCTCAAGTTCACCATAATTGTGTCTCGCCTTTTTTATCAAGTACTGAGATGGCTTGTCGAGCCTTTCGGCTGAATTGTTGAAGTTGTTTTCTAGTAAATCCATGGCGATATGGACAGTTGGTGAGAGGTGGAACTTTATCACAGGATTAGTTGATTTATTTTTTATTTTTTTTTTTGTGATAATTGTTCAGGCTTTCCTTGAACTTAGAGTATGAAACTCACTAACAAAATTAATGACTAAAGTTTAGGAACACCGCAGCTCAAAAAAAAGGACCCTTCCACTCAATACATTGAAAGCATGGCGGAGGGAGACACTAAAATCAACAGTCATAATGGAACCCCCAGTCCAAGATCGCCTTCGGCTGAATCAGACAGTTCAAATTCCTCCAAAGGAAGTAACAAGACCAATCAAATTGCAGCTCAACTACGACCCTCTTTACAGGGGTCATGTCGATCAGTTTCATCTTCAAACATTTCAGTGAATACGTCGAATCTTGCATCACAGAGAAAACCTCATACATCGAGACTCAAAACTCACAATAGGTCATTGTCACATAATAAGTTATTGAACAAGTTGTCATCATCAACTGCGCCTGCAGCAGTCCGACCAAACCTAAATCGGTCCAAATCTACTGATGGGTTGACTAAAAGTGGGCGACATTCAAATATTGTAAAAAGGAACAATAGGTCATTTACAAAACTAACTGGCTTACAACCCTTGTCAAAAACAGTTTCCAACCACTCTGTGAAATCAAACAAGTCAAATACATCGCTTAAAGGTCTAGGCGGGGGTACGTCCACCGGAGGAATCAAACCCAGTGCACGCAAAGGAACGGCAACTTTGAGTTTGGAGGATGACAAGGAATATGAAGATGTTGATGAACCCCCAGATGAAGGTGATGATGTGGTTGCCCCGCAGCCCGAAAGATTTGATAGCCAGGAAACAGTCTCTACCACCCATCTGAGCTCGAATCAAAATATTCCTAGTTTGTATGAACAGATTAACAGAATTTTGCCAGACCCTTCACCTCAAAATGAGGATGAGCGCCCCAAACTTGACGTCGTGGAAGAGGTAAAAGCCCTTGAAGATAAACCACAGAACCGTGTGGAGACAAAGAGACCCGATTTGATATCGTCTGTGCAGAGCTCGACTGATGACGTCAACAATTTGTATGGAAGCTCGTTACTTTTATCCCAATCCACTGGAGTGGTTCGGAAAGTTGATCCAATCAATGCAAGAGTAAGTGAGGTTTATCCTAACAGACAGAATGCAGCAGATCATCAACTGGAATCTGTCAGTGGAATTTCATTCAAGGCCAATCCCATGGAGGCAGTGAATAATAAAAATATTGCAAAGCCAGTGACCACTAATCAAAACGTGAGCCAAAACAACTCCTACCAACCCGATCAAACTATTTTCTCGAATTTGCAAAGAACAAACAATCAACTCCAACAGAGCAGGCAAAACGGGGGTGACCGTGTACCTGAGACGCGAGCTGCTCCGTCTACCAATAGAACTCTGAATCCATTGAGCAATGGTGCTAACAACTACAGTGAGTTTCTTCGAAGCACATCATCATCTTCTAATCTGCCACACGGTGCATCAAAAAACATTGAAACCAGAACACAGCAGAAACTTTGGTTACAAAGGGAGAACTCGCTTTTGGATGTCACCAACATGGACCCGTCAAGAAGGTCCAACTTTTCCAACTTGTCTTTAAACAATATAATGTTTTCCCACAACTACAATCAAAGCCAATCCAATGGTCAATTGTCGAGTAATCCCAACTCGTACCAAGGTCAACATAATCTATCCTCCTCCCTTGGCCCTTTGACGCCAATCACTCCTGGCCCAGTACAAGGCGTTCCAGGTTTCAACAACGGAACTATAACCCCAGAACGGGGTATGTCGAGTGTCAACGTAAATGGTTTGCTTCATATGATTCAAAATGCACACCAAAATTCGATTCAATCAAGAACTGAATTTGAACGACTCAATAGAGAGTATCTCAATGTCAGACGTCATTTGAATCCTGTTGGTGAAAGCTTAAACAGACTTCAAAGTAAGAATAGTGACAAGAGTGAGATTACAGTTGCCAAGTCAAAGAAGCGTCCTGATGGTGGCAATACGAACGCAAACACATTTGAAGAATATGCGCCGTCCTTTCACGCTAGGCAGGCAGATACCATGGGGACAGTCAACAAGATATGGCACGATGCAATATTGTGGACCTTGTCTGCTTCTAGAGTAGGATCATTTTCACAAGAGAATACAGCAAATCAACAAATGCACACGCCTGTGCACAGAATGTCATCTTTCGGACAAAATTCACCTTACAATAAACATCCACAACTTCAGACTAATCGAGTTGTTAAGCTTGGCCAGAACCAGTCAATGCACAATGATTAAATGAACTTTTATTATTATCGGCTACATATATACATATATACAAGAATGAAACAGTAAGCTTTTGTCCTTCTCCGCCTCTTATTTTGTAAGCTGGGAGCTTCTCTAACCTTGTCTTTGCTTATGCTTACCATTGGATTTGCAATAGACATACACCCTTCCCTTCCTTTTCACCAAGTAACAGTCCTTGCAAAATTTCTTGACGGAAGTTCTCACTTTGAAAGTCCTGAATGGTTGGTATAATGCCGCCACTGTGGTTGGCGTTATTAGCTTTGGTGTAGCATTGAACAAGGGTCTGATGGGAGATGGTGCAAGCAGTTGCCTTATGATACTTGTAAATGGTAACATGGTTTCAACTACCGTTTCTCCAATGAAAGCTTCACCTTCTGATACGATGCAAGTCAATTTTCTGTGGGTTTGACAATTTTTTTTTTTTTCCTTTGATGCGCAACGCACGACCTTTTTTTCTTTCCTTTGAAACTTTTTTTTTTTTTTGTTGTTGTTGTCAGACACGTAGTTAACTTCAATCCAACAAAACCAATTGATCAGAGAGTTATTCAACTTCACTTGTACGTTGACAGGAGTATACTCACTACACATCCATTATGTCCACTCTGTCATACAAGAAGCAGGATGCTTATGCCACAACAGCCAATGTCCCGGATAAAATGGCTGTGTTTCAAGAATGTCTTCAGCAGTTTAATGCCACTCCGGTCAATGCTAAAAAGTGCAGACAATTGTTAGCCAAGTTGCTTAGATTGATATACAATGGAGAGGAATTACCAGGTCAAGAGTCAACCACTTTGTTCTTTTCCATCTCCAAGTTGTTCCAACACAAGGATCAATCGTTGAGGCAATTGGTTTACTTGACTATAAAGGAATTGTCATCCACGTCTGATGATATCTTGATGGTTACATCTTCAATCATGAAGGATGTTCAAGGTGGTGATGCAATTTACAAGCCCAATGCAATTCGTACCTTGTCCAAGGTGTTGGATCCTACCACTGTGACTGCGGCAGAAAGATTATACAAAAATGCCATTGTTGACAAAAACCCAATCGTTTCTTCAGCTGCGTTGGTCTCGTCCTACAATTTGTTGCCCCATGCAAAAGAGGTGGTGAAGAGATTTGGTAACGAAGCACTGGAAACTATTCAGTCGTATAAGTCATTCCCTCCTACCCAATTTCAATTGCATGAATACTATGGTAATGCCACATCCAACTTGCCATCTACATCGTTCATGTATCAGTATCATGCATTGGGATTGATTTATCAATTGAGAAGTCATGACAAGATTGCGTTGATGAAGTTGGTTACAACCTTGTCTGAGGGATCGTCTTTGAAAAATTCGTTATCAGTTATCCAGTTGATCAGATATATTAACAAAATCTTGGATGATGACGAAGCATTATTCCCACAGTTGTACCCAGTCTTGGCAGGGTTTTTGAAACACAAGTCTGACATGGTGGAATTGGAGGCCAGTAAAGCTTTAATAAATTTGCAACACTTGTTGAAAGATGATCAATACATGCAGATAGTCACCACCTTGCAAAAATTGTTGGGTGTTCCTAGAACTGCCACAAGATTTGCCGCAATCAGATTGATCAACAAGATTTCCATCAAGCACCCGGAAAAAGTGTTGGTTGTCAATTTGGAATTGGAAAGTTTGATCAATGACTCAAATCGATCAGTATCCACTTTGGCCATTACAACCTTGCTAAAGACTATGGGTTCTGGTACAACTGAAAGTGCCAGTGGAGGGGAAAATGTGGACAGATTGATCTCCAAGATGACTTCGCTCATGAATGAAATCACCGAAGATTTCAAGATTGTCATCCTTGAAGCTATTGAGAACTTGGCTTTGAAATTCCCATCAAAGCACAAGAAGTTGGTTTCGTTCTTGACTGATTTATTGAGAGACGATGGATCGCTTGAATTGAAGACGGCTATTGTAGATGCCTTGTTTGACTTGATCAAATTCTTACCTAGCGAAGGTGCCAAGCAATTGATTTTGATGAACTTGTGTGAGTTCATTGAGGATTGTGAATTTACTGAATTGTCAGTTCGTATTTTGCACTTGTTGGGTGATGAAGGGCCAACTACATCCAATCCATCTTACTACATCAGACACATTTACAACAGGTTGGTGCTTGAAAATTCTATAGTCAGAGCCTCAGCTGTTATAGCTTTGGCCAAATTTGCTGCCGTTTGTGGCGGTGATGTTTCTAGAAACATTGTTATTTTGTTAACAAGGTGTTTGAATGATGTTGATGATGAGGTTAGAGATAGAGCCGCAATTTCATTAAACTTTATCAACAACAAGAAGAAAAACTTGATTGTCAGTGAGTCAAGATATGACTTGTCAGCATTGGAACACAAGCTTGTCAATTACTTGAGTGACAAGGAGAATTTCAACGAAAAATTTGATATTTCGGAGGTGCCATTCATCACTGCTGAAGAGTTAAAGTCCATTGAATACAATAGGAAATTAAACAAATTGGAACGCTCTTCTGATGACAACACTGGAGCCAGTGAAGGATCTAAGAAGAAAGACAAGTCTGAAGAAAGGTCCGATAACAATGCCAACGATCTTTTGAAGCAACAAGAATATGCACAGGATCTCTCGGCAATCTCGGGATTCGAGCTGTATGGTAAGTTGACAAAATCATCAATGACCCCATTGTACCTTACTGATAAAGAAAACGAAATTGTTGTTAGTGTCGTCAAACACTTGTTTGTTGAGACACAGAAGTTGGTTTTGCAATACAATATCAACAACACATTACCACACACCATATTGCAGGACATTTCAGTTATTGCTCAGCCTGATAATGAGCTTTACCAAGAAGAGTTGATTGTTACGTTACCAGAATTGAAACCAAACGAAACTGGTGTTGTTTACGTTTCCTTTGCTACACCATCATTGGATGACGAAGAGCTTTTGTCTGCATTTGGAAATACAGTTGCCTACACTAATAGAGATGTGGACGAAGATGGTCAAATTGACCCTACAGACGATGGCTGGTCGGACGAGTACCAAATTGACGATTTGGTTTTATTTGCCGGTGATTTCATCAACCCTCTTTACAATTCAAACTTTTCAGCTGTTTTCGATCAATTACCAGCATCGGAAGATGGAAGCTCCACTGGTTATATTGTCAATGTTGACAATTTGGAGAATGCTGTCAACAAATTGAGATTTAGCTTGAATATGACGCCGTTGGATGGATCTGACTACGTACCTAGTGATTCAAACTCACATACTTTGAAGTTGTTAGGTAAGGATGTATGGGGTGGTAAGGTTGGTGCTTCGATCAGGTTGGCAAAGACTGGTGGTAAGATTGTTGGTCGTAGCGAAGTGAGAACTGAGACTGAGAATTTCGCAAATGTTGTTGCAAGCAGTATATACGAATAGTCAAGATCAAAAAGAAAACAAGATTTGTGTATTGCAAAAGAATCGTGTTAAAATTCAATTTATGGACAGTCTCTATTTACGCTTTAAATACACCTCCATCTACCTTCTTACTAGCCTTCATATGCTTATATAGCAACCCCCCACTGAAATACACAGCCAAAGCAGCCAAAAATATAACCAAAAAGATCCAAGCAGCAGCCATGTTATTTGCCTTTGCAGCAGTGGGACAAGCATGATGACTCTTCACTTCAAAAAAGAATGTACAATCATTGGCACTCCCCACGTACGAAACAGAAGCCTTGGCTGACATTTCACGATCGCAAGTGAAGGTCAAAATTGTAGATTTCCGCAACCGAGCCCCGGAAGCTGAATCATACGCATTGCAAAAGGATCCATTCTCATATGTCAATGTCAATTTACGTCCTCTGAACATAGGTTGGGTTGAGTATTCTCCAATGGACACATACTTGTTCGTTTTTGGGTCGACGTAGTATGCTCCTATCCTGGTTGAGTTGACACTATCTTGGATCTCATTGAGCTCATTATGAGATTGTTTGAAGGGGTTTGAACATATACCAATTGTGAAATTTTTTCCCGAATCATATCCACGAGATTTCCAGGGTGCCGGTTTGTTTTCGTTGCCTGTAGCTGACAAGCCTCTTAAATCAATAAATCCTTGGTTTAGTGGGTTTTTAACAGTGCATGGGTCTGGCGTCTCCTCTTTGGGTTCTTCTTTTGGCTCTTCGTTTTCTGTACTTTGCTTATCAATGCCCTGTTGATTTGAGGGTTGTTGTTGCGGTGGTGATGGTGTTGATGGTGGCGCTTGATAGTTGGGACTCGATGATTGCGTTTGATAAGGGGATGAAAATGTAAAGTGGGTCAATGAATCATATATTTGGTTCGATTTGTCATACCAGGAAGTGTTTGATCTTGTTCGTTCTAGTATTGTTATGCATATGATTACTAGTAGAGTGATGGCTGGGATTATTGCGCGTCTAACTAGTTTCGACATGACGTAAGTGGGATAAAGCGAAAGTCGTAAGGAATGTTGAAGCGAGTAAGTGTGTGTATGTGGTGTGTGTGTGCGTTATCGAGGGGTCCTGTGTTTGCTATAGATGAGATCTCAGACTAGTGTGACAATAGGGATGTGTGTATTCTTTGACTGTAAGATGAATGAATCTCCCCTAGAACATTGAACCAGAACAAATAGAAAAAAAAACAAAACAAAATAAGAGCGAGAGCGAGAGAAGCTTTCATGAACAGACAACGGAGTCTACAGGAAAGGAAACCCTAGCTCTACAACAGCATATCATCATTACACTCAATTAAATGGATTCTTGGGTGGGCGCAGAAAACCCGCTATCTAGCACTTTTGGCGGGTTAGGAAATGGAATCACTGATGTACTCAATTTTTCAGATCCGTTATTAAGTCAAATCATAAATTCAAAAAAGGCATTGCAATTACTAGACTCGGAATTGGCATCCGCGGTAGTACCTGGAGAAACCAGCGATAGCGATATCACCACTGGTGAAAGCAGAGATAGATCCATTATCGAACTTCTCATAAGCTCAAGTGATGGTGATTTAGTGAGTTTGGAGCACGTCTTGCGTGCACACCCTGAATTGGTCAACAAGTTGTATCCCAATGAGAGTGGCGGGGTATCAGCATTGATCTATGCAATTTGTTTCAACAATGACGATGTGGCGACATCATTGTTGGAGAACCACAACGCCGATCCAGACTTGCATGATACCGTTGTATACTACACGCCAATCATGTGGGCTGTGTATTTGAATCAAATAGACATGGTGAAGTTATTGATCAATTCCCAAGCTGATCCTTACTTGTGTCCTAGAGATGATGGTAAAAATGCAATCACGTTGCTTAATCCCGAATCTCACGAAATTGTTGAGTATTTCAAGTCGCATAACTTGTTGAAACATCAAGGAGCTGAAACAAATGACCACGATATATTCACCACAAATACATTTACTCCGAATGATGAGTTTGAAGATGATCTTCTGACAAAGTTGAAAATGCAAACGTTGTCGGCGACATACGAGGATGAGAATGAAGACGAACCAGTACATGAGGCAGATGACGAGAATGCTCTTGCTCAAGACCCAATCATACCAAGACTACCTGATTTTGAGTACGAGAAATTGTTACCTGAACAATACATTAAATTCACAGACAGTGATATCCCATCATTGATCAATTACATATTCAAATTACGGTCAGATTTGACTTATCAACATAACACCAGAGTCCCAGCGGCTATCTTGTTTCAATTGGTGAGATTTTCGCATTTGAAAGTAGACTCAAACGAGTTGACTGAGTTTTTGTTTGATTGCTTTACTGCAAGATTGAGATCTATCACCAATACCAAGTCTGGAGCGTTCAATATGGCATTACAGGAAGACACCAGTGCCATGGGTGCAGGAGATATAGTTCTACTCAGTTACTGGCTTTCGTCATTGCAGTTTTTGCATTTTTATTTCAGCAAGGGGAAAATATACCTCAAATTTCCTCGTTTTTTACAAGAGATTATTAACCTTGTGCAATCATTGATTGCTACATTGTCATTCTCCATTAATTCACGTTTGAACTTGATAGTCAATGACTGTATTTTGAACTTCACCAGTTTGATTGATGTCTCGAATACTCTATACGCCAAAGATTGGAACCTTTTCAAAAAGAACAAGTCACACCCTAACAATTATGATGATATTCTAAACACATTGTACCCCCCGACGCAGAATGAGTTGATGAAACCTTCCCCAGTCAGATATATCCAAGTTCTTGGTGCTTTGGACTATGTATTAAAGATCCACAGCGTTGATAAGCTTTTCCGAGTGCAAACTTTTTCGCAAGTGTTTTACTACATTGATTGTGTTATATTCAATAGCATCATTAGTCAAAGCAAGTACTGTACCAGAGCCAAAGCTGTGCAAATCCGACTCAATCTTTCGGCAATCGAGGACTGGCTACGGTCTCGAGACTTGAAAGTGTATAAGCACGATGATATTGGGGGGTTAAACAAGTTGGTTGGTGACTCAAATGTTCAATTGCACAATTTGTTGAGTGAGGATAATTCATTGCTGAAGAAGGATCCTCGGAATTTGAGCTTTTACTACGATTCAGTTTACCATATTTGTAAGAATCAGTTACAACCTACGATAGAGTTGTTACAATGGCTCCAATGTATGACATCGTTGACGGATGAAGAAAGTTTGATCAATACCATCAATCAATTTGACTATTTGAACTATTATCAGTTGTACAAGGTAGCATACAAATTGTATAAATATGCAGTTGATGAACCCAAACTCCCCAAAAAGTCGGTCAACTTCATCAAGGCTTTGATGAATGAACAAGGTGAAAATCAAGTCAGCAAAAGTTTCCAACATTACATGACACAATCGACGTTTTTATCAAAAGAAGTGTATGTGTATTTGAATCCCAATTATGTTTTTGAGATTGCCTTGCCTAACCTCAATGAATTAATCAATACTTATGGATCTGGAACTGGTGGGGTTCGGGTATTGAGAGCGAAAAAGTACCAACCTACTTTACCTATAAGTGTCGTTGATGATATCGATGACATAATAACGGAAAACCGGAATTTGGAACTGAATGATACGTATGATTACGAAAAGGATGAGGAAGACAATGAAGAACATGTTGAGAGTAAAGATGGTGATCAAGATGGCGACGAAAACGAGGGCACTACGAGCAAGCTTGCTACTGATAAGCAAAACTTCAAGGGAGATGAGTTGTTCAAAAGCGTACAAATGCCAAGCTCCCTTATGCATAGAAACTGGGGCGACTCAGACGATTTCGAAACTAATCCATGGTAAACAACTGAGCCGTAGGATGGTATGTTAGACATTACAAGATTCTTGGTGTCCATAATGGGTTCACGCGGTTTGTATAGAGTATTTGTATGCTGAATACATATCTGATTCATCTTTTCAAAACCTACACTAGCCGGTGACATAAAGGTTGAAAGGTGCTACACAAATATCTCATGAAGTCGTGTCAGTAGACGACAAGAAAAAAAAAAAAAGACAACTAACTACTGCCTGTGCAGGTTTCTTCTACATCTCTTATTTGTGACATTTGGTCACCCCCTTTCGAACAAATCTCACGCAGGGAAAAGTGTCGTGTGAAAGCTTCCAAAACTGGAGAGACAGAGTGGACTGGTGAATAGAGAATTATGAGTATGAGAGTTTTCACCCAAAGCTCTTGGTAGTTGTTATTGCAGCAGATTGAATAAGCCTCGATAATAGATCTTTACATGGAAGTTTTGTTTTGTTTTGTTTTGTTTTGTTTTGCATCAGTTGAATGCACTGGTTGCAACAGTTGCAGCTGCTGCAACGACGAGACAAAACAAAAGAAAAAAAAAATAAAAAACAGGAAAAAATTTTTTTCAACCTTTGTTGTCTCTTTGTTTTACAGATCACCACAAAAACGGGTGCAAAAGTACAAACAGATATTTTTTTTCACCTTGGTTTCAGGTTTGAGAATGGTAAACAAATAAACAACTGTAATGGAAGCGGAAAAACACAATGAATCAATACACGAAGCGAAGAATATGACGTATGATCAACCTTTATAGGGATTCCCAATCTAGTTACAGCCCCATTCCAGGTACCGAAACAAAGAAAACAAACAAAATCTACTATTTTGCTTCAAAAAATAATCAGGTACCAGATCCAGAACTGTATAAGATTGAGTCAATATACTTTTCATTCAAAAAGTGCTTCCACCAGTACTAATTAGCCCTTACTACACACTCGTTTAGACACATTCATTTGCTATATTAAAGAAAAAAAAAAAAAAGTACACAGAATATGCTCCAATTTTTACATCTAGTCTTACTAGCATCAGCAGCGTTGGCGTTGATTGGAGATGGATTTTTATCATTGTCCGTGAACAAGATTCAAAACACCAATGGGTTAGGCAACTTCCCCAACAGATTGCCCATTTTTGAACAGCTCGAAGATGACTTGGAGAATATAACCAGCACAATCTTTGGTAAAGATGCTGTAAAAGGTAAGATTGCTCCACTTTTTGGAAATTCAGCTTTCAAATTCAATAAGAATAGGAATAAGGATAAGGGCCAGAATGGGGAAATTCTTACTGATATACTTGGAATTGGCAAAAGTGCCACACCCAACGCTACAAGCTCTGACGAGAACCATTCTGGTGCCTTTTCTGTCGACTTAAACAATGCTCAAACAATGTACATTGCTAGTATCGACATCGGCTCACCAGCACAAGAAGTCCAAGTCATGATTGATACCGGATCAGCTGATCTTTGGGTCATTGGCTCACAAAACCCAAGCTGTATAGAAAATGGAGGACAAGTAAACTGTTCAGAGTATGGTACTTTCAATTCTGCCAAGTCATTGAGCTGGCACAAGAATGATAGTGTTGAGTTTAGTATCTCCTACCTTGATGGATCTGGAGCTACTGGAGATTTTGGCCAAGATAGTATTCAATTTGCTAAAGACTTTGTATTGAAGGAAGCTAATTTTGCTGTTGTTGATAATACTTCTACTGAAATTGGTGTTTTCGGCGTTGGTTATCCAAGTTTGGAAAGTGCTTCTCAAAAGTATAGCAATATCCCCCATGCTTTGAAAGAGCAAGATGTGATTGCCAAAGCTGCTTATTCATTGTATTTGGATTCAAGTAGCTCAAGTCAAGGTAGTATTTTGTTTGGGGGAATCGATCATGCAAAGTATACTGGGGAATTGAAAACTATTGATATCGTCCCCAAAGATGGACAGTTCCTATACTCACAAATTCCATTGTCTCACATTGCCGTTTCATTAAACAACTACACAAATGCATCACCGTCAGGAACCGGTTCCAATGGTGCCCAACCAGGTATAGTTGGAGCTGCAAGTATATACAATGGTACAGATTCATTCAACGGCGGTGTCGACTTGAATGATACCACTGTCTTGCTTGATTCGGGAACTACCTACTCATTCCTTCCCAAGAACCAAATTGAAAGTATCCTTGGGTTGTTTGGTAATGTGACATTTGATGGTAGCCTCGGAGGTTACAAGATCCCTTGCTGGTTAGGAAACAAGGGTAATTACTTGCGTTTCAACTTCAATGAAGAGAAAGATATTGATGTTGAGTTGTCAGAGTTTGTTTTAGAGGTTGGCAAAGAAGCATCTGGAGAGGGGTCTTGTGTGTCTACTTTGTTGCCAGGACAAGCAATTTTGGGAGACAATTTCTTGAGGTCTGCTTATGCTGTGTTTAACTTGGACGATAACACGATCTCCCTTGCCCAAGCTGCGTACAATGATGACCACAAAGTGGTTCCAATAGAGTAGTGGAGAAGCCTACTACCAAAATGTTTGATCAAGATACAACAAAATACATTTGCGTTTGAAATATATTTATATACAAGGTTTGAACTGACTCTCTATATAAACATGTATACCCATTAAAAGAAAAAAAAAAAAAGTTATTACCATCATTTCCTCTATATCTTTGACAAGAAGTTGTTGTTCCTTATGGTCTTGTTGTTTTCCTTTTGCAATTTTATTCTTCTCCATCTAAGGAAATTTTCATTCTTGATATTGTCCAAGTTGTTCTTTGGATCAATCATAGTCCAAAGCCATTCAGGATATTCAGAATCTTCTTTAGCTACTGGCTCATCACCTTTCTTGAAAATTTTCAAGTTCAATGGTGTTCCTGGTTTGCAAGAGGATTCAATTGGGGTAGCTTTCTTTGCTTCTGGTTCTGGTTCTGGTTTTGGTTTTGGTTTTGGTTCTGCTGCTGCTGATGTTGCATTTTGTAGTATCCTTGAAGTTATAAGTGATCTTCTTAGTATAGCTGTAGATTGTATGTGTCTTATTATGGAAGTATTAAGCATGTTGATGTTGGTTGGTATGGTGCCACAGGTGTGTCTACTACTAATAAAGAAGGAATGAAAAATTTTGCTAACCATGATTGAGTTCGTGTACAATTGATCAAAGCAAGAGATTATTCTTCAGCACCGAAAAAAAAAAAATTTTTGAAAAAGGAAAAAAAAAAAGTCTTCAGACAAGTACTGTTACTCTTCTGCCACATCGAGTATTATATACCAATATGCCACCAAAGAAGAAAGGAGTTCAAGAGAAACCAGTATTGTTAGGAAGACCAGGTAACAATTTAAAATCTGGTATTGTTGGATTAGCCAATGTTGGTAAATCAACTTTCTTCCAAGCAATTACCAAGTGTCCTCTTGGTAATCCAGCAAACTACCCCTTTGCCACCATTGAACCAGAAGAAGCAAGAGTTATAGTCCCTAGTGAGAGATTTGACAAATTGTGTGAATTATACAAACCAAAAAGTGAAGTTCCAGCCTTTTTAACTGTTTATGATATTGCTGGGTTGACTAAAGGTGCTGCTGCTGGCGAAGGGTTGGGTAACAATTTCTTGTCCAACATTAGGGCTGTTGATGCTATTTTCCAAATGACTAGAGCTTTCGATGACGCCGATATCATCCACATCAATGATGAAGTTAACCCTGTTGCAGATTTGGACATTGTCAAGGATGAATTGAGATTGAAGGATATTGAATTTGCAACCAAATACTTGGAAGGTATTGAAAAGATCACCAAGAGGGGAGGACAATCTTTGGAAGTGAAGCAAAAGAAGGAAGAGGCTGAGTTGGTGAAGAAGATTATCCAATTGTTGGAAGATGGTCAAAGAGTTTACAATCAAACTTGGACAGCAAAGGAGGTGGACTCTATAAATCAAATGTTACTTTTAACTGCCAAACCAGTCATATATTTGATTAACTTGTCTGAAAAGGACTACATCAGGAAAAAGAATAAGCATCTTTTGAAAATCAAGGAATGGGTTGACAAAAACTCACCCGGTGATTTGATTGTTCCAGTATCGGTGTCTTTGGAAGAGAAATTGGCTGGTATGGGTTCAGACGAAGAAAGAGAAGCTTACTGTAAGGAAATTGGTGCCCAATCAGCATTACCTAAGATTATCGTTGCCATGAGACAGAAGTTGGACTTGATTTCATTCTTCACTGGTGGACCTGATGAGGTTAGGGAATGGACCATTAGGAAGTGGTACACTGCACCACAAGCAGCTGGTACTATCCACACAGATTTGGAGAGAACTTTTATATTGGCGCAAGTTATCAAATATGACGACTTGATTGAGTATGGGGATGAAGCAAGTGTTAAAGCAGCAGGTAAATTGTTGCAAAAGGGTAAGGACTATTATGTTGAAGATGGAGATATCATATATGTAAAAGCAGCCGAGGGTAAAGCTCGTTAAGGAATGGCAAAGTTTGTTCTTTGGCTTGTAAATAAAATGCATGTATAATCTTTACAATCTTTGAGGTGAAACTCTAGCAACTGTAATTACTCTTTGGCAAATTTAAGAATATGGATTACCCCTAGTAATGAATACGCTCGTTAGAGTTCCTATAAGCCTCATTTTCGTTGCTGTTCTTCGTGGAAACAGGGGCACGGAAAACGTGGCACGTGTACAATATATCACGTGATATTGTATGTTTATGTAAGGTACCAACATTTTATCCACTAAAACACCAGTATACTGCTGTCAAGAGACAGGTACCAACATAGCGCCTGTGAAAGGATAAAGAGATTGTTCTGTGAGTAGGTGTCCTAATCTTTTTTTTTAGCTATGAGCGGTGGTAACAGTGGTAATGGCATATGGTATTGGGAATCTATTAATAACAACCAAGGCTTAGCTAAGGGTTATGTAGCGTTGAATGTTATTGTGTAATTTGTTCTTTTTATAGCCGAACAATATCCAGTTCCAAAAATCAATGTCTAAGGAAATGGGTATCGATAACTTTTCCATATTTCGTTCTTCATAGTATCACTTCTACCATTGCTGATACTGCTACCCAGAATAGCTCTTTGCATCAGCTATTCCCGCAACAATTGTCCTCGTTAGAAGAACAACCACGAGTGTTCCCTTATATTTTTTTTTGCCGATATTTGACTTGCTCTGATCTTCCACCCCCCTTACTCCTGCTCCTGCTCCTCCTCCTCCTTTGATATTCCCCATATGAGATTGTCATTCAGAAGAATCATATTCTTGGTGTTGGTGCTCCTATCACTACTGCTTAGCATTCTACTATTGCAATCATCTACTACGCTCAAACAGCGATGGAATGAGGCTTGGGATACAGAGAAATTCGATCTAGACTCATACAAGGCACATAATCTTGAAACCAGACGAGATTTCCACTACATAAACTATCTATACCTGGGATACTATAATTTCACCAAAGTATTTGGTAATGACATAGATCGAATCAAACAAACTCCGCTTAAAGACAAGTGTAACGTCTATTTCAACCAATTTTACCAACGCAATCCTGATTGGAGGCTATTTACACATAATTCACCTGACTACAGATTTGACAAATCTTCTGATAAGAAACACCTTTTTTTCAAGGAGGAGCAGAAACGCCTTGAGGACAAGTTTAAGAAGGAGAAGCGAGGCACGGATGAACAGTTTGTTTTGACGAGACAGGATAATAGAACCATTCTGAACCAATTCAAAGAACACATTGCAAGATCGAAAGAGATCATGTACGAAATGGCTGATGTCACCACTCTGTTGCGAGTCTACGGCAAATGCTTTGTTGATCAGCCAGAGTTGGATGACAATCAAAAAAAGACATTTGACGATTTGAGTTCTAAGTTCTTTCCGTTCTTGAGCCAACAACTTCCCATGTTCAAAGTGCAAGGGGAGGATAGGTCCACTGGATGGCCAATTATCAAAGATGATGGATCTGTTGAATACAAATCGGACGTGGTTGGCGAAAACTACATCGACTTTGTGAAGAAACACTCCAAGGGTAAAGGCATTGTGATTTCAGCGGCAACTAGACACGCCAAAGATGTCATGAAGTTGGTCATGATACTACGGGCTCTTAACAATGAGCTTCCAATACAGATAATGCATAAGGGAGATATAACCAAGCGTTCGCTTGAATGGATTGAAAATGCAGCGACAGCGGATGTGGCGGAGTTATTGAACCCTGACACCGACACTAATCAAGGAAGTTATATGCCTGAGTTGAAACTATTGGAAAGTTACAAGGACTTTGGGTCATATTTCCCTAAACAAAATCTTCAATTTGTCAATATCATCAATTGTATCAACAAGAAGTACAAGTTTCATTTCCCTGGTTACTCCAACAAGATATTGGCTGTGTTTTTCTCAAGTTTTGATGAAGTGTTGTTACTTGATGCCGACACGGTCCCACTAACACCGCCAAAGGACTTTTTCGAATCACAAGAATATCAAAAATCCGGCACATATTATTTCCAAGATCGATCATTGAGAGATACCAATGATTTCATTGAGACTAATTTTTTCACAACTTTGTCTCCAGCTAATGAGAAATCCATTGACACGTTATTTGACATCCCTCGAATCACTGAAAAGACATTGAACAACAAATACATGACTGGGTGGAGACATTATCAAGAGGCAGGGGTAGTTGCGTTTAAAAAGAGCCAACATTTCATGGGCTTACTCATGATGTTCCCATTAATGCTTTGGACCGAACCGGTTCATTCTTCAATCTGGGGAGATAAGGAATTATACTGGATTGCATTATCAGCAGCAGGAGATGAGAATTATGAGTTCAACCCCGTTTCTGCAGCTTCAATTGGTGAAAAGACTACACTTTCAAACAGGAAATTTTACCCCAATTCACCCAGCAATGAGGTATGCTCGACTCATCCGGGACATGTGAATCAAGACGGGAAACTACTATGGATAAACTCCGGGTTTGGGTATTGTAAAAAGAATGGATATTTCCGCGATCGAACCAAGTTCCCCTTTTCGGTATTTGACAAGGATGAATTGAGCCAGTTGTATAGTTCACCATTGCAAATTCGAGCAGCTTTAGTGCCTCCTGATCTTCCACGGTTTAGACAACCAGGTAACCCCGTTGACGATGAGCCTGAAGAACAGTTTAAAAGATCGTGGAGATTCCGCCAAAAGGATATCGATGAGATAAATGAAAAGTTGCCACAGGGTGCCCAGAGAACGGAATTTATTACTGAGTGGGGTCCTCAAAAGGGGTGGGTTAAAAGCTCTATTTGTTTTGGTTACTATTATTGTGCTTATGATAAAGTGCAAAGTTATTCAGCTGACAAGGAGTTTGACGAGGGAAGATTATTCGAATTTGATGAGCAAAGTGTCAAGATGTATAATTATTTGAGTAAAGTTTGGAACACGGCAGCGTTGAGAAAACCAGGTTTTTCAAAGTCAAGCACGTGAGATGGACAATTGATTTTTAGAGTATTTATTAAAGTATAGATCTAGAGATGCTAAAGCCTATTTATTAACACCCACAACAACGGTGTGAGTTCCCATTGGCTTGATCAAGTGATGAGTCTCTTTATCAAAACTTGCATCATCTGTAGAATTTGCAATAATCTCTTCAATGTGAGTTTTGATTTCAGTTTGCCTGTCCTTTGACAACTCAGTAATATAACTTCTTGTGGCCCAGTACTTCCAAACATCATCTTTATCGATTACCTTATCATACAAGGCAAACAGATCAAGAATTTTGTTTTGGAAATATGGGTTATTCAACAAGATGGCCCTCCATTTCCCATGTCTGTATTGAGGTACTTTGACATCAAAGCCGTATACGTATTTTGTCACTTCGTTGTTCCATTTTTGATTAGCAAAGTACTGAGCCAACAACTCTTGATTGTTTGATGAAGAGGTGGCACTAAAATCCAATGCATCATAGTATCGTGTCCCTGCGTTATAATACTTGCTATCACCAACAATTGAATCTTGCGATTGTGAGGTATAGTCGAAATTCCAAATCAAGCCCAATTTCCCTCCCGGTTTCAAAATCCGAGATATTTCCTTCAAACTCTCCTCATCGGCAAACCAATGGAACCCTTGGGCCACAATCACGGCGTCAATAGAGTCATCATCAAAGGGAGTATCGTAACTTGACGCTTGGATTACATTTTGAACTGTGGGGAAATTCAGCTTGAATGACTCCAACATTCCCCGTGAAGGGTCCACAACTGATAAATTGTCGATCCAGCCATTGTCAATCAAGTTTTTGGTGAATTTTCCAGTACCGCATGCAATTTCAACTATTCTCTTGTCATTGTCGAATGTGTACGTGTTGTCTTGTTTGTTATAAGTGGCAAGACCTAGATCCACCAAGAACGGGTTGACAAGAATGGGTGTGAATGACGGGCGGTATTGATGGTACGATGAATGGTTCAAGTTGAACGAGTTCACCGCTGTATCGTGAGCCGACTTGGTAGTGGTTGACATTAATGATGGTATTTGTGGCTTTTGTCGGAGAAATGTGGATCAATGGAGAATTGTTTCTAGCAGTTGATCAACAGCGTTCATGCAAAAAAAAAAAATGACGTGATGATATCTTGTCGAGACGAATTGTCGAGCGGCATTGTTTAAACTGTGGCTAATTTCGATTCCGAGTACCGGGGATTAATTATTTCCCTTGGTAGCGGCATTTGAGAATAAGTCCGCGCTACACCTGTTAAGTTTACTGAAATGCCGAACCACTCTTTTTTTTTTTCATTAATCATTATTTAAACAGATAGATCCCATAAGTTATACAAAACGGCTAACAACTCTTTGCAAATACAACAACACTAGTATAGCAGCAATAGCATACAATGCAATATATCCCTTAGTCAACACCATATACGTCCAAGTTCCATGTATTTTCTCCATATTGTAAGCTTCCAATTCAGATAAGCATTCGGCATTTTGTTTGAAAATATACTTGGATTCTTCAATAACCTCCAATTTCTGTTCCTCGGTCAACCCGCCCCTCGTAACCAACTCATAATCTCTCTTGTATATTACCCGAAGCAAACTTTCATCTGTGACGTCGAAATTGAAAAAATTGAATCCCATTTTCATTATATCTTCATGTTTCAATCCATCTTTCTTTGGGTAGAATCCAGTCGCTTTGGCAAATGACGATCTCATTAATCTTCCACCGGCAAATAAAGCCAAGTACATGACATGAAGGTAAGCGAACAACAAGTATGGTTTGGCTTTGGTTACTTCGAGAATATGATTGGCAAATTTGATTTGTTGAGACATTTTGGGGTTGACGAATTTCTCCTTCTTGTCGTCGTAGAAAAACAAGAGGTCTTGTTCAGCTTTGGCCGTCCTGGCAACTTCAGGCTTCCAAACTTGTTTCAACATGTCTGACCATTGTGTATCTTGTTGTAGTTGATATTCCATAGCTTTTTCAATACTAGCGAAAATGTGGTAAAATGCTTGCAATCCTTGACGATAAACTTTATAGTTTCTTAAAGCAATGGCCATTTTGAGTGAAACCATCTTGTCAACCTTGTCGTGTAATGATCTGGTTTCCAAATTAATTCTGTTTGCCAAAGCACCAACGTCTCTTTTCGCAGGTATTATTTCATGTTGAGCTAATTTGGTAGTGGCTCCGGTAGTGCTCAACTTGATGGCTTCTCTATTGGACATACTGAGGTCCTTTTGGCTCGAGGGTAATCTGGTGGTGCTGGTGGTTGTAGTGGGGGTTGTAGTAGTGGCAGTAGCAGTAGCAGACATATTGTGGAGCGATTTAAGTAACGGTAGATAAATAGTAGATAAGCAAACTAACGCAATTCTAGAAGAGGAAGATTTGGTGTTGTATTTATAAAAAAAAAAAAAAAAAGAGAAAATTTTGATATGATGGAAGTTATGTTGGTTTCTGTGTTCGGTGATATCGGGTTGTGATGCGTGTACTGCATATAACACTACCGATAACTACACATTGTCAAAAATGATTAAAATTACACAAACACCAAAAGTGTCAAAAACAGGCAAAGAAACTGTGCCACGTTATACAGTACAAAGTAGATGAAATTAGGCCCAACTAGACCGAAAGGATGTGGGATCCATATGCAGACTTAGGGCATTGATTGGTGTCATTTGGTTGTTGAATTCGGTTTTACATCATGCGGCTGGGGGGAGGGGGAGGGGGTTCTAAAGCTGAATACGCGTAGTTTTGTGCAATAGGCAGTGGTGAAGTGATTCCTTGCAACGTGTTGAACATTGAAAAGAGATCTAATTGGCGGTGGCTTTTTGTTGGGGGGTAGAAGAATTGCAGAAGAAGGTGTCAATGAGACCCGTGTCTCGCATTAAGATATAGTCTGTTCGCATGGTTTTTTGTTGTATTTCTTACTTGTGTATCGTCGAGTCTCTCATTGATTTCGCTTGATAAACAAGTATTCACGTCCTGAGTTTATAGATCAGTTGCACTTGGTGCTGTATATGTATAGAATGTGTGTCCCCTGGGTTGTACACATATGATTCTCTTCCTTGAGCGATAAATCCAGTGTCAGCTGCACAGTCGCATAAATATTTTTTTTTTCTGTCGGTCGTTATCTATTTGATCAAATTATCCACTCCGGCCGTGGAAATTGCTCGACAACAGAAAACACATAACTAACAATGAAATCCCTGAGTTGCATTGTTTCCTTCTCTTTGCTCCTTTCAGTTTTTCCTTTTGTAATCTCTTAACTTCTCCATATTTCGGACATCGTGTACAATAGTTACCAACGCAGCTTTTTCAATCTTTAACCAATGAGCTAGAGAATGCTGCGAGAACCCTACGCACGTTACCATAGCTTACTATGGCCATACAGATTTTGAAATGTTGATGTGTACATTATCGAGGCAAGTCCATTTCATCATATTAAACTACCTTCTCTTCACCTTGCAAACCCCTGCAAAGAGAAAAGACGTTAACCAGCCATACACGCGTCGTATCTTAGGCTCGAATTGCACGACCACTGCTGTGATTTATACTGGGCAAGTGCCTTCAATATGATTTTTTTTTTTTATTTTCTTGAAATAAAATTTAACATGTGGTGAATCTTAAACGAAAAAAAAAAAAAATAAAAAAAAAAAGTATCATACAGCGCGTCACATCCATCAACTTCTGTACATCACTAAATATCAAGAGCCAACGACATTCTCCATAGATGAATGATAAATTTCTACCGGTGAAGAAGGTATCGCAAATTCCCGAAATAAATGGGGAATATGTTCGAGGCAAACTACAGTACAGAACGAAGACATTCTTTTTGATGCTACGCACCTATCCCATACATTCAATCCCCGACAATCGATGTAGGGTTGAAGCTACTGATTTCACTTCACACTCTCAAATAAGTAAAGAACGTGGTGAAAATGATAAAAAGTACAGACTTTTGGAGACTGACGACAATAAAGTCTTGCAATTGATAGTTTTCAAGAATCAATTGCGAAATTTGTATGAAAAGTACAATGAGCTATACCCTGGACGCAAGATTGATATACCTCCAGCAGACGGAGACTTCCGGCAGGTCATTGATGACAGACTATTGATATTCAGTATCACTGTTTGGTGGAGGGAGTACAAAGAAAAATTAGAACCCTTTACTTATGATGCAGATATCGTTGAATATGATTGTCTTCTAGATAATGAGAAGAAGTTTGTTGGAGACTTGTATAAGAAGATATTGAAGAAGAAGCAATACATTAAGGGGCTTAATGGGTTGGAAAAAGAAATCATTCCGAAGGAGTTTATCGAGAGTGCTACACGTGATGATGACGATGATGATGATAATGAAGACGACGAGGATATATCGGAGATGTCATTATCGGAAGATGATTTTGATGAAGAAAGCCCAGTCGAATCGAGACTTTCATCTCGACCAACAGAAAATGACATACCCGATCCAGACCTAGGAGATATGATCGACATAGAACGAGAAATATTGGAAGCGCAAAATCGTATTAGTAACAGCAATGTCTCCTCCGTTTTGGAGTGTGCTCCAGAAAGTGTTGTTGAAGTTTCCAATTCATCCGAGAGCGCAAACGTTGAAGATAAGCAAAATTCACAAGAAAAGAGGCACAAACGTGCCAAATCTGACGTAGAGCATCAAGAAATTGAAAAGCGTTCAAAACAAAGTAATGATTACCATGATGCACAAACTCAAAACGACGCAATTGTGGAGGCAACTGTGACTCCAAACGCTAGCAATGGTGGTGACGCTTCAGCGTTTTACAAAGTTTCTGAACTAACCAAGTTGAGCAACAGCATTGACAATAAAACGTACACTGTAGTTTGTGAAGTTTTGGATGCGACTCCATCAAGCAAAGAATGGATAACCTACAAGTCATACGAAGTGAATCCCCTAACAGAGGAGACAGAGTTGAGTCACACGCGACTTCAAGGGATGGAGTTCATTATTACTGATGTTGCATATCCAGCCAATTACGAGTTAAAGGAAGGTGAATACATGTCTATTTATCTTGATGGTGAACAGGTGTTGGCTTTGAATAAGGCTCACCAGTGTGTGACAAAGAAATTACTCAATTTTGCTTGGGACAACAATCGAGATGACACTATTTTGACGTTGAAGTTGCGCAAAGTGCAAAGAGAGGTTGTTGTGTGGACGGTCGAGTGGTGAGGAGAGGGGAAGGTGGTTGCGTGGATCGGTCTAGAATGTTAGGAGCAGTTGTTACCTGTTACATGGCGTCAACATAGCTCAATACAACAAAGCTCCAATCACCAATACAACAGCTATTGCCAAAGATTCCAATGAAGGATGCTTCTTTCCCTATTTTTTTGGTATTTTTTTTTTTTTTGCGAGACGATGGGGGATCTCTAGTTGCTAATTTTTGCGTATTATACTATCGGCTAAATTGGGCCTCTATCCGAGCCCGCATTTGCTAAATCAAGATAATTTATTTATGCTATTGTTGTTGAAAATTGACGAGAGCTGGTTCTATTACAGTTTTCAATCATGCGCACGTGGTCCCATTGACTGTCTTCACCTAGAATTCTTATGAGGTTTGTATACTGTAACGCTTAGTACTGACGTTTTTATACTAAAACAACTTATTATTATTTGCATCTCAGACACCTTCTTGGTGCTGAGTAGATTGATCAAAGACCAGAACCTATTAGAATATGAAAACATGACATGACTCAGTTTAATTATGGGCTTTATTGCATGACGTATGATTTTGCGTCCAAGTTTTTAATTCGCTAATTCCGTTATCTCCAATTGTTTGTTTGTCAAAATGTGGCACGTGTCTGTCAATTTGGTGCCTCAAAAAATTAGTTGCAAAAAGAAAAACAATAACAACCATCACAAAACGAATACAACAACACCCGATTTCCATTTGTCTTTGCTGCTTTTTTTTTTATTTTCTTTTAATTACCGACTTATTGTTTTCGGTGGAAGAGTTTAAGTTAATACTTTTTTTATTTGATTAGATGAGAGACAAAGACAAAGACAAAGAGAGGGAAAACGATGGGCCCATGTGGGATATCTAGTTGGTAGCTACAAGTCGACACCTCAGCAAACTTGCAAATATAAATAGCCAGGAGGATACGCCTTGACATCAAATCAGCAATCACAATTGTTGCTCAGTCAAGGCACCAACCAAGAGAAATGATTTCAAGTGTGTTTTTATTCATCTGGGCTTTGGTCACGGTTGCATTAGCTCACACTATTCCAGGACACAGTTCCCTTCAACGTCAACTTATTGCCAAGAGGGGGCCACAAGACCTCATCGCGGACCTTTACCGCAATTTGCCAGCTCCAGAAATTGACTTTATCAACTACCACATCAGAAACTTGGCTTTTCCGAATGGTACCATTTCCAAATGTGATGAATGCAAAAACAGAATGAAGTACGCTAAGAACTTGGTTGAAGAGTACCCCGAGAACGAACATTTGGTTAGTTTGTTATTGTTCAGGGACTGCTTAAACAAGAACCCCAAAAAACCAACAGCTTGTGGAGACAAGGATTTCTTCATTACCACCGATTCACAAAACTTTGAAGCATTCACCGACAATTATGATTCTGGTATCACTTCAGGATCAAGTATCAACTTTTTTGACAATGATTTTCTTCACGTTATTAAAAATTTTAACGTTTCAAGTGATTTGGATTTAGAGTACTATTGTTATTTCAAGTGGAGTAAAGCTTGTAAATTGCCAGAAACTCCCGATGTTCAGGAGCTCTTTGATATTGAAAGTTGGTGGCCAGAGAAAAGGCTGGTGTACAACAGCCCTCCGGAGTACAAGAACAATAGTGAAAAGTTTAACGTTGTTCACGTTACCGATTTCCATATTCAACCAAGATACGAATTGGGCTCAGAGTCCAACTGTACTCAAGTGCCATGTTGTTTGCCAGAGTCCTACAATGCAGTTCTTCCTGGAAAAGACTATAACTTCACCCAATACTACAAGAACCTTGAACCATTTGCTGACACATTTGACTTCTCATTCTACCCCGATGCTCATTACGACGAAAACAACCAATATGTAAAAGGCGAATACTATGATTTCCCCAAGTATCGTGGTTACAATTGGCAAAATGCCCCAGCAACAAGTTTTGGTGCTTATCTTTCAGATACTCCTGAATTGCTCATGAACAACTCCTTGATTGAAGTTGCCAAATTGCACAAGGAAAAGAATTTTGAGTTCCTCATCTTTACTGGTGACTTGGTGGATCATGATACAATTCACGCTACTCCCAACGTGACAAAGGAATCCGAAGTGACGTCATTCAACTTGATGAAACACTTTTTGGACAACATTACCGTGTTGCCCTCTTTGGGAAACCACGATGCGTTCCCATATGCGCAAGTGGCACCATTGCAGTTTGATCGTAACAACTCTTACCAATACAATATCGATGACATGGTCAATTTGTGGATCAACAATGAATGGTTTGATGAGAAAGATGCCAATGATTTGAAGCACCACTACACTGGTTTCTCATATGTTACAAATAGGGGTTTGAAAGTGATTGCTTTGAACTCCAATGCTTACTATGTTGAGAATTTATGGAACTATGTTGATCAATCGACCAATCCCGACTTGTTTGGAAACTGGAAGTTCCTTATTGATGAATTAGTTGAGTCTGAGCAGAAAGGTCAAAGAGTCTGGATAATGGCTCATGTTCCACCAAATGGCGCTGACGCATTGCCAATCCAGTCAAGAATATTTGGTAAGATTGTTGAAAGATTCTCTCCTTACACCATTGCTAGTTTGTTTTACGGACACACTCACGTTGATGAATTCACCATTTTGTACAACACCAACGTCACTGCTGCTGAGGCTGTTGCTGATGATGTCATCAATATGGCTTGGGTGGCTCAATCTGTAACACCGTTCACCAGCTACAACCCTTCATGGAAGTGGTATGAAGTGGAGAATGAAAGCTTCAACATTATCAATGCTTACAACCACTACACGCAGTTGAATTTGACATTCACCAATGGTGGTGAAGAGCCAAAATGGGAAGAGGAGTACAGTGCAAGAGATTTTTATGATCCAAACCACACATGGCCAGAGGATGCACCATTGAATGGTACTTTCTGGCACAACTATGTTGCCAAACCATTGTGGAACACCAGCAACATCGAATTTGCCCAAAAGTTTATGGATCTCAAGTATAGATTGAGTCCCTTGACGCCAAAATGTGACGTCAATGGTACTCTTTCAAACGAGTGTTACAACAACAACTGCTTCATCAATTTCTATTCTGATAATAACATCAAGTGCTTGAAGCCACTGAAGGAATATTGATTTTGTCACTTTTTTACCCACGTTTCTCTTTTATTTTCGGTTATAGCGTTATTTAGTTACTTTCTTCAATAAATATTTTTGCCAATAAAGCCCATTATGAATTTTTCAAAGTAGTATTGTGTTATTGCTTTACCTTCCTGGTCTTGCTCTATGGCTCAGGAGCCATTGGTGTAATATTTGACTGGGTAAATTGACGATAGATAGTTTCTTAACTATAAAGTAACGCTAACAGAATTATAATCACATATTTTTGCAATATAAGCAGGTCTAGGCCCCATCCCCACGTTTTGATCTACAATGCACTTTGGAACTTATTTCATATTTGGTATATACTCACTGCAGCTACACCTCTACCTCTCTCAAAGCTTACCCATCCGGTCTTCCAAAATGTCGTGAGAAACAATCTCAATGGAATACGTGTCTGGATCTCTAATGAATGCGATTCCTTTGACAGCTTTGCCTTGATTGAACTTCACTGACCAATCCAATTTGTCACCATAAGCTTGTTCCAACTCTTGACAGAATTTGGCTGGATCTTCGCATGAGATACAAATGTGGCCATACCCTTGCACTTCACCATTTTCGGTGCTGTTACCGTTGTGGTATCCTTTGAAATCGGCATCGGATTCGGTACCCCAGTTGTGAGTCAATTCCAATATCGACTCTCTTCTCAGTTGTTCTTGCCAGTCCATTGTACCTTCTTTGAAGTTGGGGTCATGATTATAGCCGAGAAAGTACAAACTGAATTTAGCTTCTGGGAAATCCTTCTTTGTAAAGAGCTTGAGGCCTAAAGAACGGTAGAATTTCAAGGAAACTTCTGGATCTTTGACTCTAATCATTGTGTGGTTGAGTTTGTATGAAGACACATCAGTTTTGTCTTTCTTTTTGTCAATGCCATTCTCAATAACTTCAACCCAGTAATCCTCAGGGTCTGACAAAAGGAAAGCAATGTTGTGCTGACGGCCATCTGCTAATTTCTTTTTGAATCTGACACCGTTTTCCAAGAATTGCTTTTCAGCAGCTTCGATATTGTCAACTGAAATACAAACATGGCCAAAACCTTTATCTTTGTCACCGTTACCATTGTTGATCTCGGCAGTGCCTCCGTGGTTGTAGCACAACTCAACAACACCTTCGCGTGCGGCCCAGTTTAAATGCTTATTCTTCTCGGTCTCGTAGTTGAGCATGTACAAGGTAAAAGTGTCGAATGGGATTGTCGCAATCAACTTCATTCCCAACTTCTCTTGCCACCAATTGACGGATCTGGGGTCCTTGATTCGAAGACAAGTGTGGTTCATAAGGAAACTATTGTTGATGGTAACCATTTTCGAGTCTGCAGTTGTACTGGAGTGGTAGCAGTGGCTGTTGTTTGCAATTGATGTTGGTGGAAAAGTGGAAGAGAAAGAAGTAGTGGGAATTTTGCAAGTCCCGATTTGATCACGCCAAAGACTTCTATTTATAATGTTATTGCTGCTGGTATGGTAGCTATGACGTAAAGAAAAGCGCACGCTCACTTCGACTGGAAAAACGGATTTGCCACATATATGGCGCACTGTTTGAAGCATAGTTTTGTACTTAGGTGGTTGCGTAGTGGGGCTGTTTCGATGAACTGTATCGCTCTACAAAAGAGTTGGTTCCATCTCCACTTAAAACAACGGAAAACGGATTTTCCAAACCTCTTGCTTCGCGGAGTTTTTCATTTTTGCGGCACCGCAATGAGCGTACGGAAAAGAGAGAGAGAGAGAGAGAGAATTTTCCCACGACCAAAGGCCGCCAACCACCAAGTCAAGCAATTGTTCATATCTTCATCTCCATAACACGCTAAAACAGTAATCGGTTAGTCTCTTTTATTTACAACTGACTATATACCTGTACCACTTTACTGACACCTCCTCTCCCCTAGAGCTTTTGCGCTTCATTCTTAAACTGTTCAAATACATCCTTTTTGACCTTGTACCCGTGCTCATCAGCCAAAGGAAACTTTTTCGACTCCACATCCAGCTTATATTGCTTCATAGCATCAACTCCCAATTGATAAAAATGTGCATAAGGTTTGACAAATTTAGCAATATGGCTCTCTTCGGGATTTTTCAATTCCAACATATCTGAAATGACAAGCACTTGCCCTGAGGTGTATGGGCCAGCACCGATCCCAATTGTAGGCACATTTAAGTGCTCTGTTATAAATTGTGCTATCTTGTTAGGGATGCATTCCAATACTATGGCAAAAACACCTGCTCTTTGTAAATTTAGACACTCTTGATAGATATCCAACGCTCCCTTTGCATCTTTACCTTGTAATTTGAACCCGCCTAAAGCATTATGTTTCTGTGGTGTTAATCCGACATGCCCCATTACTGGTATCCCCACAGAGATTAATTTTTCAATAGTGGGGATGTTTTCTTTATTTCCTCCTTCCAATTTAACTCCCTGTGCTTTACCCTGTTGTACCAACTTAATTGCTGACTTAGTTGCCTGTTCCACTGAAGCCTCAAATGAACCAAAAGGTAAATCAGCAATTATTAACGACTTGTCATTGCCCCGCAGAACAGATTTAACGTGATACAACATCTCCTCCAATGTCAATTCATTGGTGTCTTGGTATCCCAATGTAGTGTTCGCTAGCGAGTCACCAACCAAACAAATATCGATATCACCTGCATCAACTAGTTTAGCAGTGATGAAATCATGTGCCGTTACTACCGAGATGGGTTTCTGTGATTGGTGGAATTGATGGATGTCCGAGACTGTTTTTCTAACGACTTGATTATATGATGACGTGACTGTCGATGAACGAGAGAACAAACGTATAGTTTGTCTTTGGATGTTGCGAAGTAGCATCAAACCGTGGTGGGGTCTAGAGAAGTAGTAAAAGAGAGGACTGACAAATTGCAAAAATTTTTGTTTCTGTCGTTTAGAGAAAAAGTGTGTGTGTGTGTGTGTGTGTGTGTGTGTGTCTCGTCCTCGGTTTTAAAAGAAAATGGTGGAGAGGCAGGCAGCCAACTTATACGATCAGAACTGTACACCTAAACGATGGCCACTACTACAATAACACTCCTAAATCATACTCAATCAATCAATATATATATAATGGCTTATTAAATAAAATGCAACGCTGGTATATGACATATATATAAATATAAATCTATGATATTTGATACTAATGTACAACGGAAGGTGGGGAAATTCTTAAACCAAGACAGTTTGTTTATCCATGGTTCCTGATCTCGAGAATGATGCATATCTTTGAAATGGGTCGTTTCTTTCCAATTCATATTCAGGGTTGCTTGCCTTTTTATTTGTCAATCTTCTGAAGAAAACACGTTTTCCCCATTTCCAAGCTTCAGCTCCAAGGAGAAACAACACTGAGCATGCAATAGCAACTCCCCATTCCCATCCAATGGCCTTGTGAAGGAAAACCTTGGTGTTGATGACCGGGATGTAAACAACAGGGAACACGGTGACAAATCCTCCAATCACCGACCAAAAGAGAAATTGATTGTCCCATAAATCGATAGCAGTTTGCTTCCACCATGGGTTGTCTGTATCTTGTCTCATGTAAAATAAGGAGTTTGTGGGATGAATACATTCCCAAGCGAGTATCAATGCACACCAAGTCATGTTTGCAAATGAAGCCGATCTTCCACGGAACACCAATCCACAAATATCAGTATCGGCATCCATCGAATTACAGTCCACCCCCAAGTCACCATTTCCATGGCCAAAGACAATAACCACAAAGCAAAGCAAACATGAACACGCCATCCAAAAACCGTAACCCAACATGTCAATAATCACTTCCCAAGTGAAAATGGTATTGTTTGGTGGTTTTTCCAAAATGTCGTCACTGGCTTTCTCTTGACCCAATCCCATTGCTGGGAAGCATGAAGTAACCACCAAAATCCACAATACTTCAACTGGCGATAATGGGAAAACCGAAAACCCTGATTCATCGATAAATGCCAAACCAATCATCAAATATAAAGCCTGAGCAACATTTTCGGCCAACAACTGCAACACGAACTTTTGGATATTTGCTGACATTCTTCTACCTTCTTCAATTGCGTTCAAAATGGATGCAAAATTGTCATCAGTTAAAACAATATCTGAAGCGTCTTTAGCCACATCGGATCCGTTAAGTCCCATAGCAATACCAACATCAGCTTTCTTCAAAGATGGTGAATCATTAACACCGTCACCAGTCATGGCGGCAAATTTTTCACGACGATGTAAAGCATCAATCATACGGACTTTGGTTTGTGGTGCGCAACGGGCAATAACCAATGGCAATACAGGCAAGTTGTCAATTTCTTCATCCGACAAAGCATCAAACTCGTTTGCTGTCATAACCATGACTTTGACGACATCATCTGAATAGTGGTACAAGTTATGAGGCAAGATTCCAACTTCTTGAGCAATAGCTTTGGCAGTACCTGGATGGTCACCAGTAAGCATATGGACATTGATACCAGCACGGTGACACAACTTAACTGAACCGGCAGTTTCTTCTCTTGGAGGATCATAAATACCAATGAGACCTTGGAAAATCAAGTTGGATTCAACAGCTTCACGATTATCACAGTCGCTATCAATTGTTCTTGTGGCAAATGCCAATACCCTCAATCCTTGAGATGATAAAGCTGTCATGTTCTCCTCAATCAAATGTTTATCGGAATCGGTCAATTCTTTCAATTCCTGTGAATCATCAGTACCTTCACCATACCATGTGGTACACAATTGCACAACCCTTTCAACAGCACCTTTTGTGTAGACTCTAGTCTCTCCACTATCTCTGTCCTTGTAAACTGCCGACATTCTTTTAATTGATGAGTCAAAGGGGAACTCAGCAACATGGTCAAATCCGTCAACAAGCGACTCTCTTGCATAGCCCAATCTGGTGGTGAAAACCTGAATGGCAATTTCAGTGGCATCCCCATGAGCTTTCCAAACTAATTCACCCAGCTCTTCGTCTTTGCTTTGGTTGACGGTGGCGATATTGGCCAAAGTGGCAGTCATTAACCAGTTGTGCATGCTTTGTGGCATTGGGTCTGGGTAAGGCTTGTTGAAATCAACTTCTTCATCGGTTTCTTTGATGAAAAATGGCGAGTATGGTGCATACCTTACGTCACCAACAGTTGGGTTATAAGGCTCGTTTGAGTTTTGCACTTCCAATGTACCAACATTTGGCAACCAGACTTTTTTGGCAATCATTTTACCCTGTGTTAATGTACCCGTCTTGTCGGAACAGATATCGTTAATACCACCAAGAGCTTCCAACGAGTCCAACTTTCTGACAATAACATTTTTCGAAACCATAACTTGAGCCCCAACAGCCATTGTAATGGTTAAGACAACAATAAGAGCTGATGGAATCATTGACAATGCAACACAAATGGCATAAATGGCAACTTCACGATTGACGATCATCTTTTGAGAGCCCAATACAACAATGGCAAATACAACAGCCACCCAAAACAAGAAAATGGCCAACCAAGAAAGTTTTCTTTGCAACGGAGTACCGACAGTAATACCAAGGACGTTTCCCACAATGTCATAAATTGTTCCAGCAAAAGCACGTCCATATTCTCTTTTCTTTGGTTTACCGTTTGACTTGTCAACTTTGCGAATCAACCCAGTCTTTCCTCTCAAAGACTGAGCAATTTGACCAATTTCAGTGTTCAACCCAGTCCCATAAGCAATACCCGATCCTCTTCCCTTGGAGACGACTGAAGATGAATAAACCAAGTTTAACCTGTCGCCCACTGGTATAGGCACTGAATAATCACTATAAATAGTTGTGTGATCTTTTTGTACTGGTAATGACTCCCCCGTCAACAATGCTTCATCAGTTTCCAAATTCATGGAATCAAACAATCTCAAATCAGCAGGAACTGTGTCTCCAACTTTAACGTGAACAATATCACCAGGGACAACTTCTTCAGCAGGAACAGTGATGTCGTCTCCATTTCTGGTCACTCTTGCAGTTGGTGATGACAAGTTACGCAAAGAGCCCATGGTTTTTTCCGCTTTAACCTCTTGAACAAACCCAACAAGGATATTTATACCAACAACAAAGCCAATAACACCACCCGAGATCCAATCTCTAATGGCTAGTGCTATAATCATACTGATGAACAACACCAAAATCATAGCATTGAATACTTGATGGGCCAATATTTTCGTGTAGGATATGGAGTCCTCTTCTCCGAGATTATTAGGACCATAACTGGAAATTCTTGATTCAGCTTCTTTTGGAGATAACCCATTTGAAATATCGGTGTTGAAGTCTTTGGCTGTCTGGTCAATTGTGAGTCTATAGTATTCTTGTGATACCAAACCTTGGTCGTTGTTGGTTTCAACTTTGGTGTTATTTGTGCTAGGAGTGTTGTTGTTGCTCATGGATTTTTCTGATAGCGAAGAGTCTGTGTTTCTCCGTTGTTGTTCTTCTTGTTGTTGTTGTTGTGAGTAGTTAATGGATGACTTTTCGTTACTGTTGGACATTATGAGGATACAATGTGTCTAAGGTCCTTAGGGGTAGAATTGTTAATCAGATGCTTGAATAGAACGACTGTAGCAGCAGTAGCAGTAGCGGCAGTAGCAGGATTTATCAAGGAGTAAAAGTGGGTTTTTTGAAAAATCTCTTTATGAGCTAGCGAAGTGTAATATTGGCTAACTTCGTATTTAAAGTGTCTGAAAAGGAAAATAGAAAGCAATAAATATTATTCAGTTGAATAGATGGTAGAATATAATTTTTGAAAATATAGACTGCAAGTGGATGTATAATTAAAACTGATACGGAAGTCTATACCCAAAATTTATCGTCTGAGTTGTAGATGTAATGATTGCTTTTTCTACAGAACAGAAGAATAAGAAAGAATTGAAAATTTCAAAAAGGGAATGAAATGAGGGGGAAGTACTGGACTATTTATATTTCTTGACCTGATACAAAGAGAAGTGAGGTTTGGCGGAGTGATGATGTGATATCTTTGGTGGGCTGGGGAGGAAGTTAAGCGTATTTTTAAAGTTGCATAATATTACACAAATATAGAGTGGACTCATAACCATGTGCAGGATCTATTGTTTGAAGTTAAATTTTGCGTTCAATAGTGCAAAATCTACTTCCAATGTACAATCTCTACTATCAACTGTATTTGCTGCCATTAATCGCTACTACATGTAATTAAACTATGGTTACACTATATATTCTCCTTCTACTCCTCTTATTTCTTATCTTTTTTAAAGTTACGACACAGAACAAAACAAGGTGTCAGGCAGCAATCTAGACCTCAGCAAAGTATGTTACTGTTACTGTTGAAGTTGAAGTTGAAGTTACATTGGCACAGCATGTATAATTTGTTTTCATATACAAAAAAAAAAGATGCAACCTCGGTATGAATCAGACATAAACCTCCCAAGACCCTCTCCTTGGTAGTAAATGACCAGTGAAAATTGCTAGGGTCATGTGTCTATTGCTTTCTGCTTTGTTATCAGTGCAGAGGTCATTACACAGATATTGTTCTTTCTTGCCGTGAAAAAAAAGAAAAAAAAATGAAGAAGAAAACAAAGAGAGGATTTGCTGAATGCCAATACTTAATGCCAAGATGAGGTTGTATAAGTTTTGCATTCTTCATCTTTTTAGTTTTATTTTTTTCTTTTTTTTTTTTATTTTTCTTGTCACGTCCATCTATCACATACTTGTAACTCTTGGCATTAACTTTGGTAGCAGCAGCATCAGCATCAGCATCAGCCATCTCAGAAACAATAATCTTTGCTGCTCAACATCCATACACACATACTAAAACTGCTCAGAACAATCTACTTTTTTTTTTCTTAGCAAAAGCCAAGAAATTTGTATCTTAGTACACGACCAACCGTATCCAACTCTGTTTAAAGGTTGATGATACATACTTTATATCCTTCGGTTGTGCTTGTAATAGTCATATAGCTTCATGCAACCCTCATTTAAAAGCATGCCACATCTCTCACACACACTCTCACACTCTCTTTCTTTATTCTAGCCGAAATTTTATGTAGTTTCAAGAGGGTTTCTGGCTTAGAAAATAGTATATTTCCAAATTGAGACTAAATTACGGTCAAATAATTGCGCCGCGTTCCCTCTGTATCTTTTGGAAAGGGTTTTTCCTTGATAACCCACAAAGAGGGCATGGTTCTAAGATCAAAAAAAAAAAAATAAGAATAACAGAGGATCTTGGTAATATTCCATTTCATTAGGATTTTAGCATTAAGTAGAATGGTTTTCCTGTGAGTTTGGCCTTGGGGCACTGTATCGCAGTCTACGAGGGAGGGTGGGGGGAGAGTACATGCTACATTCACTTTTCTTGACTTCTTTACGATCAACTTACACCTCGAAAATTCAATTGATTTCCATTTTACGAGCTTACGTCTTAAACACCTGTGCCCTTTGCGCAAATGGCACATTGATTCCCAAGGCAATCCCATTTTTGAAGACGCATATATCCACGTGGGTCCCTCTAGCCTTGTTCTTTTGTGGAAAAAAGGCGGTCGATTTCTTTCTTTTTTTTTTTTTTCTTTGACGTATCTGCAACAGTAGGTCAGTAGATGACACAAAATGGCAACAGAATGTCAGGTGATAGTCACGCGCCAGAGTAGGTTTTATGATCCTGACATATCATCATCCTTTGTGTAGTCTTGATTGCTAGTAAAGATGTCTACCGTGTACCACTTTTCTTATCTACGCCGTAAACCCTGCCCAGGTGCAAAACCACTGATGTAATTGTAGTTGCGGATAAATTGTCCAGGCGTAAACATTTTTGTGTACTCTTTCTTTTGTGCCAAGAGTTTTTCCGGAGTTAGACGAAGCCGGACATAAAACATCCATGAATGTTGAGAGGGGAGGCTAAGCCAGCTAACAAGAGAAGGGTGAACTATTGTCTTGGCTGTGTAAAAGATAAACTCGGACTAGTATAACAGCACTTTATCATCCGAGAAGTAATGCAAAACAATAAGCGTACCTCTTATGGTAGACTGAGCAATCATAATGTGTTTTCTATCCACTTCCGTGTATATGAGACTCAGGCTCAGTAAAGGTCAGTCTAGCCAGAATCATTAAGTTTTTCTTGTTTGTTAAATACCCCTACGTCAAAGTTAGGGTGTAACTCTTGTGTATACAATCAACTTTTAAACTTTTGAGTATTTTCCTATCAACTCAAAGACCCTAGCTTTTACTAAATGCTACCATTGTTGCACCTTAGTTAGTTTCAGGTTATTGAGTATTTAAATCGTCTTTTCAAACAACTCACTCCTGTGTATACTCATACAAGTCTTATCTTTTTATCAAGGTATACATTTTTGCAGCAATTTGTTGACTAAAAACTTTCGTTCCTTGAGTAGAAGAACAAAATCAAGCTGGCAAACCTAAATACCAAGCTCAGGCTCTTTCAAAGCTGTCAACGTTAGTATATTACTTTTCTTGAACCGCAGAATTGATTAACAGTCACAAGACTAGTTTCGTCATTGCTCATCAAACTCGAAACTCGTTATTGGCGCTACCTTAGAATCCCTTCGTTTTCTTCTTAGCGAACAAAAAAAAATTCACCACTGATGTTATAACATCAGAGCTTACAATACAACAACGCCATGTTTTCCCCGTCTGATGAAAAGATTATAGAATATATCGATGCAGGACAATATACAATTGCTCAGAACTCCTTGCTCGATAAAATTAGAAAACATCCGAACAAGACAATATATCGAGCATTACTGAATAAAATATTATACAAAACAGGGTCTACGGACAAGGCAATTGAAAACAACTTAGCCTTATTGAAAAGCACTCCAAATGAAGTAAATACCCTACTTGAGTTGAATGAGTTTTTCAAATCGGTGGGCATGGAAAAAGAGGCAGATTTGGGGTTCGAAAATGCGATTCAAAAGTACCCTTTACTATCTCAAGAATTGAGTTACATTTGGTTTGAGAATACCATCCAAGATTTAAGTGTAAAACAATGGAATAAGATCTTTTCTTTTTTGAACAAGGGCAAGAAGAATAAGAAGTACACTTTTTGGTACAGTTTTAGTTTTTACTTGTTGATGAATCAAGGTAACGAAAAAGATGAAACCAAATTGAAGTTGTACAAGTCATTTGGTAAGAAACTAATAGAAGGGTTGGTAGAAAAGGAACCTTTTGAAAATTGCCAAGAGTTGTATGTTTACACGAGATTTTTATTATTGGAGGAGGATTACAACACAATTGTATCGATTTTACACGATGCGAAATTCCCTTTGGATTTGGAAATGCAATTACTTTACATGGAAGCAATGGAGAAGTCCGGGAAATGGACTCAACTTCACACATATACTAGCAAGTTGTTACTAGAAGAGAAATTCGACGATTTTGATACTTGGAAGCTATGGATCAAGTCAGGGTATGAAACTGGAAAAACTTGCGATGACCTTCAAACAAAGTTGGGAAGCTCTCGAAACGAATTGTTGATTAAGATTGAGCTAGATCTTCTTTACAAGACGGGACAAGAACGCTTGCAAAAGGATATTGAGACCTACTTTACAACGTTCAAGAGCAAAATGTGCTGCTATACTGATTTATCCAAGTACAGGGACTATTTGTCACCGATATTTTACGACAAGGTAAAGAGTTCAACTGATGAGATATTGTCGCACTCACTCAAGTGTGACAGTGAGCTTATTACGCTCGTAAACAATCAGAAGTTTGTACGTCATGTCAAAGATGGACAGATTTATCAACTTGCTAGAAAGAGAAACGACTCAGCTACTCGATCTGAGTTTGACAATGATCCTATAAGTGATGCGCTTTTGATTTCCATTGTTGAAAAGTTGTCTGAAAATCCACTTCCATCGCTTATTATACAAAGCATAGCAATCATAAAGCATTTATTGGTGCACGACAAGTACAATTATAGACTAAAAGTATGGTTGATCAAGCTTTATTCACAACTAAACACCAATGACACGGTATTACCCATTTATGAATCCTTGAAAATCAAAATGATTCAACATGAGACACTTGGATATTACCTTACGAATACTGTCCCCGCAACGAAATCAAGTCTTGACCAGTACATTGATATTTTTCGATTCTACCTTACGGCCAAACATGAAGTAAAAGATACTGTTTTGGGTGGATTTGAGCTGCAGATTTACAGCAAGTTGACTAGTTTTGTTCAATTTGGTCAAAGATTGCAAAACTCAGTGTCATTGAATTTTGTATTACAACGGATCATTCAAACTTCGTTAATCACTTCTGATAGAGGATACTTGAACTATTTTGCTCATTATTTGAAAGAGAACGAGAAATCAATCTTGGCATCCACGTGGAGGGATAATCGAGACTTTGACTCGGAATGGCATGGAATTGTCGTTAATGAGAAATTGGAAGCAGCAAAATCAAAAAAGTTGTTGTCAATACCAGTGGATGACCAAGTTACAAAAGTAAAGTTGGTGATTTATGCCATTATATTCAACACCTCAGACGACTCAAACGAATTGTTGAAACATTTCAACAAGATCATAAGCTCCACCCCCAACGTTAGCTCGAATCCATTCACCAACACTTTAATCAAAATGTATTACAACTTGTTGAAAATCCAAACCACCAACATCAATCCAAATGAGTCTCAATCGTTATCCAATTTCATTTTAAAGAATTTGAAAATTGATAAACTCAAAACACAAATCATCCCTGAATCTTCCATACTCTCATTTCAATTGAATGAAAATTTGATTAATGTGATTGAGTTTATTAAAATTGCTCAATTTATATCTACACAACCTAGAGCCAAGCGGAGTAAAGACAGCATCAATATAACTAGAGCTATATCACAAGCAACTGCAAAATCGGCTCAAGATTTGCAAAAGTTGGATCTTGTACAACAACAATATTCAGCCATTGATGCGAATGTGTCTGACTTTGGCTTTAATGATGAACTCGGTTTGGGCTTGGATAAGAAGGTATTGGAAGATGCAGTTTACGAAATCAGAGAATCAATTGCAGCTTCAACAAAAACAATATTGAATAATATATAGAACCTTGAATATATTGCAGCTGCTGAAGGCATTTGTTGAACATCCCAACATAGCTGTCGATACTCTTTTCACCGAAAAAGTAGTCTCTCAAGTTGCCTCTTCCATCCCCTTTTGATATCATCCTCCCTTTATAGATCTATTTTCAACCCTAAGCTCGCACTCATGGACACAATTTGACTGACACCCAAACTCAACAAGTATTTCCTGTGGTTCAAATCGCGTTCATTGGCATTGACTTTGAACTCGTCACGTACAAACTTGATTAAATCATCACGCTCATGATGCTTGTAGATTTGTCGAAGCACTGTACGATACACTTGTTTGACTCGTTGCTGAAACAAGAATTCTTCAAGTGATGGGATGCTGTTGCTAACGAAATTGGATCGACGTGAAGACGCTGAGGGCACTGAAGTTGCTTGCAACGTGGTCAAGTTTGTGATATATCTGATATACAGGAATGGTGTACTTTGTGGCTTGAGAATCTTGGTCAGTTGTAGGTAGATGATCATTTGGGTATAATTGTATAAGAGCAGTGGATGAGGGTTCAAGCGGAGGTGCGCAATTCTTTGGCGCGATCAAATCGGGACTTGCAAAATTCCCACTACTTCTTTCTCTTCCACTTTTCCAC